GATGCACAGGACAAATGCAGCGTGTTGCCAGGCGAGGGAAGGAAGTGGCTCTGGGAAATGTTGCCTCTGGTGGCAATAAAAGCCTACAGCACCTGGTATTCCCAGGCGGTCTCCCATCCAAGTACTAACCAGGCCTGACTCTGCTTGGCTTCCGAGATCAGACGAGATCGGGCATGTTCAGAGTAGTATGGCCGTAGGCATCTGAAGCACCTCCTTTACTCCACTTGAACAGATGCTCACTCTCTGCTCCGTTCTCTTCTGCCTCAGGCATCGCCTCTGACAAACAGTCCTGCCCGCCTACCCGCCCATCGGTGAGCCTTTAGAAGTTGCTTCCTTTGTCAAGGTCCTTCTTTCTTTCTTCATTTCGAACCTTCCCACCTGGAACCTTTCAGCACCAGTTTGCTGCAACCAGTAGCACTGTCCACCAATGCAGGTTTACAGCTCAAATGCAGCCTGCAGTCGGCACATTGCATAGGGAAGAGTGGGCAGGAGTCGAGATGTGCACTGATTCCAGTGGAAAGAAAAGCCTACGGGTCCTGGTATTACCAGGTGGTCTCCCACCCAAGTACTAACCAGGCCTGACTCCACTTAAGCTTCTGGGATCAGACGAGATCGGGCGTGTTCATAGTATGGCCGTAGGCATCTGAATCACCTCCATTACTTCACTTGAACACGCGCTCGCTCTCAACGTGGTTCAACAACTTGCATTTGGCATAGCGCCCTTCACGCGGAGTTGCGTCCCAGAGCGTTGCTTCCATCGTGCTTTGCTCAAAAGCCATGGACTCTTTAAAACGACACTGTCTGAGCTTCGAGCGAGCCTTTTCTAAGTCACTTCCTGTCTCAGTGACCACTTTTATTGGTTCATTTGAAATGTTGCGAGTGGACGTGGGACCTTTGAGCAATGGTTCGCTGCAGCCACCAGCACTGTCCTCCAATGCAGAGCAGCCACCAGCACTGTCCCCCAATGCAGATGCACAGGACAAATGCAGCGTGTTGCCAGGCGAGAGAAGGAAGTGGCTCTGGGAAATGTTGCCTCTGGTGGCAATAAAAGCCTACAGCACCTGGTATTCCCAGGCGGTCTCCCATCCAAGTACTAACCAGGCCTGACTCTGCTTGGCTTCCGAGATCAGACGAGATCGGGCATGTTCAGAGTAGTATGGCCGTAGGCATCTGAAGCACCTCCTTTACTCCACTTGAACAGATGCTCACTCTCTGCTCTGTTCTCTTCTGCCTGAGATATCGCCTCTGACAAACAGTCCTGCCTGTCTGCCCACCTGCCCGCCCATCGGTGAGCCTTTAGAAGTTGCTTCCTTTGTCAAGGTCCTTCTTTCTTTCTTCATTTCCAACCTTCCCACCTGGAACCTTTCAGCGCCAGTTTGCTGCAACCAGTAGCAATGTCCACCAATGCAGGTGTACAGCTCAAATGCAGCCTGCAGTCGGCATATTGCAAACGGAAGAGTGGGCAGGAGTCGAGATGTGCACTGATTCCAGTGGAAAGAAAAGCCTACAGCAACTGGTGTTGATCATTTCAAATGTCGCCACCTGTACCTCGAACCTTTGAGCAATCGTTCAATGGAACCAGTTGCACTGTCCCCCAATGCAGGTGTACAGTTCAAATGCAGCCATCGCAAGGGGAAACAAATGCCAGATGGGGGTACGGAGAGTTCAATGCAGGTGTTTATGCAGTCGGCAGACTTTGGGATCAACTGTATCCAGTGCACGGTGGAGCTGGGGAAATCAGCAAAGAGGGCATTTGAGAAATCGGGTCAGGAGGTGACGCATTGATGAGTGTTTCGGCTGCATCTGGGTTAAGGTTTTCATCTACTCGCTTTGCAAGCGAGAGACCTGAGTTCAATTCCAGTCAGGGCGAAACCTTGGGCAAGTTTCCTTACTCCACACAGAGCCTAATAATAATCCCTCCAAAACCAAAAAAAAAATAATAAAATTGGCATTTTCAATCTACGACTGTTTGTGGGACATTGCTGTGCGCAATTGGCTGCCGCGTTCGCCCACAAATTTACAGTCAATTCACTTTACAGTGTGTTCTGTGAAGCGCTTTGGGACGTCCTTCCGACGTGAAAAGCGCTATATCAAATGCAAGGATTATTATTATTATTATCTTCGGTTACTGAAATAGAAACTGTGCAGATATATTCAACCAATAAATATGAACATTGGGTTAAATTATTGATTATATTTTGAAACAGAGTGTGGCACAGTGCACATTGAATAACTGGAAAACACAACAGAAATGTCATTTTATAAATTAGACTGCTGTCGTTATACAGTATACATTAAATACATTGGAATGCACAGAAACAGGACATTCGGCCCAACTGGTCTATGCCGGTGTTTATGGTCCACATGAGCCTTTTTCTGCCATTCCTCAACTAAGCCTTTAAGCAGTATAATATTAACACGTCAAGTTTTGAAAATATGCATTGAAGGTAATAAAAGACGTTCATAATGAACATTGGCGACAATTTCAAAATTGTCTAAATTGCTGCATTCTTATGAACAAGAAATGTGGAAGAATACAGGTCATCAGACATGGTCACTCTCAGAATTTCTGTTCACAAGTCAGTGGGAACGAGACGTCAGCGTCAAGTGACAAATGTCAAGTAACAAATGCTGAGCTTCCCTCCCTTCACAAAGTGAGGAAGGTTTGATGTTCAGAGGGTGATTGTCTCCCCATGTAAATGGTGCACCACATGAATTGTTTAATATTTACAGAACAAAATGGGGCTTTTTGTTTGAGATCTGTCTCGTTGTGGAATCATACAGCACCAAAGGCGGCCGTTCGGCCCATTGTGTGTGTGATGTGTCTTTATAGCCCCATTTACTTGCCGTGTCCCCACATCACCATCCAATCCCTGAAAGTAACTCCGTTTTAGATAACTATCTGCAACTGCTTAAATTGGTGAGGGAGCAAAACAGCGAGAGTCCAGCAAGTCTGTACAGACAGACCGACCAGACCAACACAGCAACCTGATTTTACTTAATATTATTTATTAAACGTATCATTTTTTACTTTCCTAAGGACACGATTGGGAAAGAAAATCCTGGTTTGTGACTTGTCTGCTCCGAGGCCGTCCTGAGTGTCGATTGTAAGTGACTGTTTCCCATCTACATTTAGAAGAAATGAACAGACTGTTTATAATGTGGATTTCACGGTGACTGTGTGTAGAACTGCTCCCTCAGTCTTTGATCACAAACACTTTCAGTCCATGTCTGTGTCTCCGCAGCAACTCCAGCCTTTTCCCTCCATCTGAACTAAACTGATTCCCCCTCAGGCTGAAACACATTAATCAGAGATAAACATCAGAGTACAGTATGGACACGGGGCGTCACAGGAAGCTGGTGAAAAGCTGGTTGTCTGTGACCCTGGGCATCTCTATCCCCCAGACCCATTCGCACTTGGCTCTCCCAGTCAGACAGTGCATGGAGCTCACTATCGTGGGCATAACAATAAAGTAAAGGTAACAGACATTTCCAGAATAAATCAATTTGATAATCCTTGCATTTGGTAAAGCTCCCTTCATGTCAGGAGGATATAATAAATTGAATGAAAAATACCCCAAGTAAACTTGGGTCACTCACTCCATGGCTGTTTGTGGGACTTTGCTGTGCGCAAATTAGCTGCCAGGTTGCACACACTTAACACACAGTCATGACACTTTACAATTTATTCTGTTAAGCACTTTCAGACATCTCGTTGGTGTGATAACGTGCTTTATCAAATTCAAGTATTGTTAATTATGAATAAACTGAAACAAATACTCACAGAATCTCTTTCAGGTTTGGTGCGAGTCTCTATGACTTCACAGAGAGCTTGGACAGACTGGTCGGTGAAGGAATTTGACTCTTGGGACAGGATCTTCAGTGAGGAGTTTGTACTGAGAAAGGAGATGAGATCATCGGTGCAATCATCTGACAGATTGTTGCTCTGCAGCCTGGAGATCGGAGAATAACAGGGATCAGAGTAAATGAACAGAATTTATAACGAGGTTACACTGATAGCTTGTATTGTACAACACTATTTTTGTAGAGTAACATCTCAGACAGCTTTACAGAGGTGATGGCAGACACCAAGCTGGGGAGGGTGGAGGGCAGTGACCAAAAGTGTTGTCAAAAAGGTAGGTTTTCAGGTAACTAGTGAAGATTGATAGAGACAGAGCAAGATGGAGGGGTTGAAGGAAGGAGCCCAGAGGTATAATGGTTTTAGTGATTCTATCCCCTACACCAGGCAGTGTTCAAGGCTCAGCCGCTGATGGTGGGATGAGGAGGCAGAGGATGTGTAACAGTCTGGTGTTTGTCGAGCAGAGGGGCTGAACAGTAGGATGAGGCTGGAGAAGATCACAGAGGAAGGCAGGTACGAGAATATGAAGGGATATATAAGTGGAGAGAGATGCAGAAAAGCTATCTTGGTCAGGGTGTGAGGAAGGATAGAGAGCTGAGGATTGAACCAAACGTCAAGGGGTGGCTGAGTCGGTTGGGTTACAAAGGGTGGATGGGACAAGGCCATGGAGGGATTTCTAAACGAGGATGGGGAACTTGAATTTGATCCACTGGGGCTTGGGGAGTAAGTGGAGCTGAGCGAGGATGGGGTTAATAGGCTCACAGAGGCTGGTGCAGGAAGGGGACACGGTTGAGGAAATCGAAGCTGAGGATTGCTTTGTCTTGTTTAGCTGAAGAAAGTTGAGGTTCACCCAGGACTTGATGTCTGACAAGCAGGTGATCAGAATATCATGGGAAAGGACCAAGGTAGAACTGGGTGTCAAGTGAAAACTATTCCATGTTTGCAGATGTCATTACCAAGGGGAAGCTTGTGGGTCAGGAAGATGAGGGAACCAAGGTCAGGATCCTGAGGTACTCCACAAGGTACTCCGATTGTGTGAGTGAGAAGAGAAGTCATTGCAGGAAGCAAAGTGGAGAGGATAAGTCAAGTGGGATTGGAACCATGGAAACCGTTACTGAGACAATATCACACCATGTGTTACTCACCAGGGCTGCTGTATTTTATCAGAGTCCCTCAGAGCCACAAGCAGTCGCTTCACTCCTGAATCTGCCAGTTTATTGTTGTGCAGATGCAGCTCTGTCAGTGAACAGTTTTTACTGAGAGCGGAGGCGAGATCCTCGGTACACTTAGCTGTCAAATTGTTGTGACCCAGCCTGGAGATCAGAGATGGAGAAATGACAGTGATCAGGAGAAAAACACAGGCACTGCTTCTCGTCAAGTTACAGACCATGGCAATGTCAGTGTGTGAGGGGCTTTCTCTGAGTAAACTCACACAAACAACTGAATACATTTACAGAGGAACATAAAATAACTCACATTATTTATATGCAATAGTGATACACAACAGGAATAATATAAACAATCTGTTTTGATATAATAAACAGTGCTAATAAATATTAATAATAGTAATCAGTGTAGAGTGTCCACAGAATATAATACCCTGTGTCTGACACAATCTCACTCAGTGGGTTACTTACTCCAGCTTCTGCAATTTACACTCTGGTTTCCCCAGAGGCAGACAGTCGCTTCACTCCTAAATCTCCCAGTTTATTATTATCCAGATACAGTTCTGTCAGTGACTGATTTATGCTGAGAGCAGAGACGAGACCCTTGGTATAATCATTTGTCAGTCTGTTATCCCGCAGCCTGGAGATCAGAGACAGATAAATGTAATTACTGCATCAGTATAAATCTAGAGGCACTGACTTCCTGGTAAAGTTACACACGTTGTAACATTCACAGTGATGTGAATGTGTGAGTCTATTTCTGTAAATTCTGTAAGTGTAAATTCACGCAAACAACTACAAATTTACTGAGGAGCAAAGAATAACCCACATCATTTGTACACAATATAAATTACTGTACACAGCAGGCTCTGATATAACCAGAATTTTTAAATAGTAATAAGAATAATCACTGAAGAGTATACTTGGGATGTAACAAGTAGTTACTGACACAATCTCATAGCGAGTTACGTACCACAGTCTCTCTAGTTTACACTCCGGCTTCCTCAGAGCGTCAGAGAGTTGTTTCATTCCTGAATCTTTCAGTTTATTACAATCCAGGTGCAGTTCAGTCAGTGAGCGGTTTGTACTGAGAGCAGAGGCCAGACTCTTGATACCGTTACCTGTCAGGCCGTTACTCTCCAGCCTGAAGATCAGAGATGGAGAAATGACATGATGGGTATGAACACACAGGAACTGTCTCTGGTAATGTTTCAGACTTTGGGTTGAGGAAACACAATTGAAAGCAATCAAAGAGGTTGGGCTTGAGATGGACCTTAAAATGTAGATCTTTCTCAGTGTAAAAATGAAACACAACATTTATATAATATCTTTCACATCTGGAACACATCCCAAAGCGCTTGACACAATCTCCCGCAGTGTGTTACTTACCCCAGTTTCTCTATTTTACACGCTCGGTTCCTCAGAGCCTCAGACAGTTGCTCCACTCCTGAATCTCCCAAGTTATTACAATTCAAGTACAGCTCTGTCAGAGAGCTGCTTTTACTCAGAGCGGAGGCAAGATCCTGGGTGCACTTAGCTGTCAAACTGTTGTTACTCAGCCTGGAGATCAGAGATGGAGAAATGACAGGGGTCAGTATAAACACACAGGAGCGGACTCTGGGAGTTACACCTTGCTGATGTGAGGGTGTGAGGAGATTTCTCAGTGTAAACAAACCAACAACTGTATAAATTTATTGAGGAATATTGAACACCTCATTTAAACACAATAATGTAAATTACTGTATACGGCAGGTTGTGTTACATTAATCAGAGTTTATAAATAGTAATAATTCGAGTAGAGTACTAAGGCAGTGTCTGACACAATCTCTCACAGTGAGTTACATACCACAGTCTCTCTATTTTACACTTTGAGTTACTCAGTGCCGCAGACAGTGGCTTCACTCCTGAATCTCCCAGTTTATTATAATCCAGGTTCAGACCCTTCAGTGAGCTGTTTGTACGGAGAACAGAGGCAAGTTCCTCGATAGAATCATTTGTGAGGCTGTTATCCCCCAGACTGGAGATCAGAGACAAAAGAGAAATGACAGGGATCAGTTTAAACACACACTGACTGACTCTGGGAGTGTTAGTATGTGAGAGGATTTCTCAGTGTAAACTCCTATCAAAAACTGAATAAATTTACTGATGAACAGCGAAGAACTCACATTATTTATGTAAAATAATACAAATTACCGCATACAGCAGGTGTGATATAATAACCAGGGTTTATAGATATGAATAATAATCAGCGTAGAGTGTACACATAATATAACATCCAATGTTTATAGCCAGTGTCTGACACAATCTCACTCAGTGTGTTACTTACTCCAGCTTCTGTATTTTGCACTCCGGTTTCCTCAGAGCCCCAGACAGTCGCTTCATTCCCAAATCTCCCAGTTTATTATTGTCCAGATATAGTTCCATCAGTGAGTGATTTGTACTGAGAGCAGAGACGAGATCCTTGGTACAATCATCTGTCAGTCCGTTATCCTGCAACCTGGAGATCAGAGACACAGATCAGAGTTGAAGCATGTGGATCGTGGAGCCAGGGAGAGTAGCGAGGAGTGATTGGAGAAGTCTAAGAAAGATATGAGAAAGGCGTGAATGAAAGTCTCAGTGGCAATGGGTGTTAGGAGCTGAGATGGATGACATGGAAAAAACTGGGCATTGAACTGCAACCAAAATGGTGCACCAGTTAGGAGAGTTTGAGAGAGGCCGGGAAAGTTGGGGAGGTTAGAGCCAGAAGAGAGGAGATGTTGGTGGGAACTGAGGAGAATGCTGAGTTCAAGTAAACTTTGGATCATCGAGGTCTTGATGTCTGGCAAGTGGACAGAACATCAGTAGATCTGCAATCAAGAGTCAAAAAGGAAAAGTAGATTTGTGTGTTGTGCATAACCTGTGTATGGAGGAGTTAATGGAGATGAAGGGGGAGGGCAGGGATGGTGGGGTGGCGAGTTGGGGAGATGGTGATCAGGTGAGGGGTTTATTCAGATGTTGTGGGGAGGACGAGCCCTGTGATGGGGGGTGGGTGCTTTGGGAGAGCCTGTGACATATGCCAAGGTGTGCCTGGCAAAGGCTGGAACTTGGGGCTGTTGAGGAGTGATAGAAAGTGGGAGGGGTGAGGAGTGGAGGGAATAGGGTGTGTGGCGTACGGAGTAGGGTTGGGGAAGATGTAAAACAGATGATTGATGTCAGAGGTAAAACGTGATCCAGAAGATTCAATGGGAAACCACCTGAAGGTTAAAAGCCCAGAGATTATTGATGACCGGGGACAGGGAGAAAAGACAGTGGCTCACATAGATATCTGACACATGTGGAATGCCATCACCGTGCTCAAGAGTATCCAAAGTAAACTGAGAATTCCATGCATCCCGACTACACATGGGAATTCCAGAGATAGATCGTTGGAATAAAATGTGCACTCTCTCCCTGGAGGGATGCATCCCACTTACCTAATTCTGGAAGGTTTTAGGCTCAGGTTGGCAAGAGCCAAGGCGTGGGGACCCCAGAGTGTGCGATGGGATAACTGCTGGACTCTAACCAGCTAAAACCGCGTAGCTTGCCATTGATAACACTGTCTGGCCAGCTTTCCGGCTACTTGATCAGCTCAGATCACCTTACCTGTGAGGACTTTGGCTATAACCATCTCATCTGTAGGAAAAAACCTTCATTAATGTATTGGAGTGTCAGCATAGACAATGAGTTCAAAGTCCCAACGTGGGGCTTGAACACACAACCTTCTGATTCAGAGGTGAAAATATTCTGCTGGAAATTTTACCACTGATCACATTCCCAACATCTGTCCCACTGGATAGTAATTTAAAGTCGGCCCCTCCCTAGCTCTGTGGGCAGTGTATATCCGACGAGGATTTTCTAAACTTGCCTGAGTCACTTTTCTTCCCATTGTCAGTTGTCAGCGGGGGATTAGGAATGGGAGCTTCGGCCATGGTGGTTTAATGGTTTTCAAAAACTCTCAGGAGTCATGGAGTCACCTGTAAAATGATAAGGTAATAATAAAGATTGTGTCGGAAAATACACTGTCACTGCACTTTACTGTATATCCTATGAACAAGTTTGGGATGTCCTCCCAATGTGAATGGCACTTGATGTGTCTTGAAGGTGGCGAGGAAGGGGCGAGACGGAGGGACTGCGGGATGAAGTTCCAGAGGGTGGGTGCAGAGGGGCGGAAGGCCCACTTGCCAATAGTGGGGCGAGCAAGGCGGGGGAACCTGAAACAAGCCGGAGCCCGCTGTGTGGAGGGAGCGATCAGGGTGGTAGGGGGTTAGGAGGTCGGAGAGGTAGGGGGGAACAAGACCTTGGAGCTGAGGACCAGGATCTTGAACTGTATCCTCTGTGTGATGGGAAGCCAGTGGAGTTGGGCAAGGATGGGATTGATAGGGTCGCGGAGCCTTGTGCAGGAGAGGACACGGGCTGCAGAGTTCTGGATGATCTGCAACCTATGGAGGGAGGAGTTGGGGAGACCGACAAACAGTGAGTTTGCACAGTCTAGCCTCGATGTAATGAAGGAGTGTATGAGGGTTTCGGCGGCCTGTGGTAGGAGACAGTGTCGGAGCCGGGTGATGTTGCAGAGGTGGGGGAAGGCAGAGCGGGTCATGGTGCAGATGTGGGGTAGAAAGGATAGTTGAGGGTCTAACAATACCCCAAGGTTCTGGACTGGCTAAGCAAGATGGAGTGTGCAACCATGGATGGAGGTGCTGTCAGCGCCTGGGGTGAGGAGGTGCTGACGGGAGACAATCAGTAGAGCCTCGGTCTTGTTGATGTTCAACTGAAGAAAGTTAGCTCTCATCCAGGACCTGATGTCCGACAGACATTCTGTCAGGACTGCAGTGGTCCTGGAGTCAAGGGTGGAGGCAGAGAGGTAGAGTTGGGTGTCATCCGCATATATGTGGAAGTTGACCCCATGTCAACAAGCTAACCAGCTAAAACTGCATAGTTTGCATTGGGAGCACTGTCTGCCAAACTTTATTATTATTTTGGAGGAATTATTAGCCCCGGAGAGAGATCCGCCAATCGACTAACAAGCAGGTTTCCACTTACTGGTGAGTAAACTGTGGGGTGTGTGTGTGTGGAGTAAGGAAGCTTGCCCTAGGTTTGAGGGGTAAAGGAAGTGCTTTAGATGCCAATTGACATAATGCAGCTAACTTGCGCCTAATACTTTCCAGAATTAGGTAAGCAGGAGGCGTCCATCCAGGGAGAGACTGCGCTTTCCATTCCAACAATCTATCTCTGGGATTTCCATGTGCAGGTGGGATGCATCGAATTCTCAGTTTGGTTTGGATACTGTTAACAACAACAACAAAATTACATGTACAGAACGCCTTTCACGTCAGGAGGACGTCCCAAAGCGCTGAGATCCGCCACGGTGATGGGTTTCCACATGCGTCAGACACCCGGCTAAACCTACACCTCAGTTCGATTCGTCCGCGAGGTTGTTGATCATTTTCTCCTAAATGTACATGAGAAACAGTCACGTGCAATCGACACTCAGGACGGCCTTGGAGCTATCAAGTCACAAACCAGGATTTTGTTTCTCAATCGTGTCCTTAGGAATGTGAAAAATGATACGTTTGATAAATAATATCAAGTAAAGTCAGGTTGCTATGTTGGTCTGGTCGGTCTGTCTGTACAGACTTGCTGGACTCTTTCGCAGTTTTTCTCCCTCACCAATTTAAGCAGTTGCAGATATTTATCTAAAACTGAGTTATTTTCTGAGATTGGGTGGTGATAATAATAATAATAATAATAATCCTTGCATTTGATATAGCGCTTTTCACGTCGGGAGGACGTCCCAAAGCGCTTCACAGAACACACTGTAAAGTGATAATACATAATAATAATAATAATAATCCTTGAATTTGATATAGCGCTTTTCACGTCTTCTCGACATCTCAAAGCGCTTCACAGAATAGACTGTAAAGTGAATTGACCGTATATTTGTGGGCGAAACGCGGCAGCCAATTGCGCACAGCAATGTCCCACAAACAGTCGTGGATTCAAAATGACCAATTTAATATTGTTTTGTTTTGGAGGGATTATTATTAGGCTCTGTGTGGAGTAAGGAAACTTGCCCAAGGTTTCGCCCTCTGCCTGGAATTGAACTCGGGTCTCTCGCTTGGAGCGCAAGTGTTCCAACCACTGATGTGGGGACACGGCAAGTAAATGGGCCTAAAAAGGTGCATCACACACACAATGGGCCGAACATCTGCCTTTGGTGCTGTATGATTCCACGACGAGACAGATCTCAAACGAAAAGCCCTGTTTTGTTCTGTAAATATTAAACAATTCATGTGGTGCACCATTTACATGGGGAGACAATCACCCTCTGAACATCAAACCTTCTTCACTTTGTGAAGGGAGGGAAGCTCAGCATTTGTTACTTGACATTTGTCACTTGACGCTGACGTCTCGTTCCCACTGACTTGTGAACAGAAATTCTGAGAGTGACCATGTCTGATGACCTGTATTCTTCCACATTTCTTGTTCATAAGAATGCAGCAGTTTAGACAATTTTGAAATTGTCGCCAATGTTCATTATGAACGTCTTTTATTACCTTCAATGCATATTTTCAAAACTTGACGTGTTAATATTATACTGCTTAAAGGCTTAGTTGAGGAATGGCAGGAAGAGGCTCATGTGGACCATAAACACTGGCATAGACCAGTTGGGCCGAATGTCCTGTTTCTGTGCTGTGTATTCCAATGTATTTAATATATACTGTATAACGACATCAGTCTAATTTATAAAATGACATTTTTGTTGTGTTTTCCAGTTATTCAATGTGCACAGTGCCACACTCTGTTTCAAAATATAATCGATAATTTAACCCAATGTTCATATTTATTGGTTGAATATATCTGCACAGTTTCTATTTCAGTAACCGAAGATGAAAACCTTACCCAGATGCAGCTGAAACATTCATCAATGCGTCACCTCCTGACTCCATTTCTCAAATGCCCTATTTGCTGATTTCCCCAGCTCCACCATGCACTGGATCCAGTTGACCCCAAAGTCTGCCGACTGCATAAACACCTGCATTGAACTCTCCGTACCCCCATCTGGCATTTGTTTCCCCTTGCGATGGCTGCATTTGAACTGTACACCTGCATTGGGGGACAGTGCAACTGGTTCCATTGAATGATTGCTCAAAGGTTCGAGGTCCAGGTGGCGACATTTGAAATGATCAACACCAGTTGCTGTAGGTTTTTCTTTCCACTGGAATCAGTGCACATCTCGACTCCTGCCCACTCTTCCCTTTGCAATGTGCCGACTGCAGGCTGCATTTGAGCTGTACACCTGCATTGGTGGACAGTGCTACTGGTTGCAGCAAACTGGTGCTGAAAGGTTCCAGGTGGGAAGGTTCGAAATGAAGAAAGAAAGAAGGACCTTGACAAAGGAAGCAACTTCTAAAGGCTCGCCGATGGGCGGGCAGCCGGGCAGGCAGGACTGTTTGTCAGAGGCGATATCTGAGGCAGAAGAGAACGGAGCAGAGATTGAGCATCTGTTCAAGTGGAATAAAGGAGGTGCTTCAGATGCCTACGGCCATACTACTCTGAACACGCCCGATCTCGTCTGATCTCGGAAGCCAAGCAGAGTCAGGCCTGGTTAGTACTTGGATGGGAGACCGCCTGGGAATACCAGGTGCTGTAGGCTTTTATTGCCACCAGAGGCAACATTTCCCAGAGCCACTTCTTTCCCTCGCCTGGCAATACGCTGCATTTGTCCTGTGCATCTGCATTGGGGGACAGTGCTGGTGGCTGCTCTGCATTGGGGAACAGCGCTAGTGGCTGCTCTGCATTGGGGGACAGTGCTGGTGGCTGCTCTGCATTGGGGACAGTGCTGGTGGCTGCAGCGAACCATTGCTCAAAGGTCCCACGTCCACTCGCAACATTTCAAATGAACCAATAAAAGAGGTCACTGAGACAAGAAGTGACTTATAGAAGGCTCGATCGAAGCTCAGACAGCGTCGTTTTGAAGAGTCCATGCCTTTTGAGCAAAGCACGATGGAACCAATGCACCGGAATGCAACCCCGGTGAGAAGGGCGCTCTGCAAACGCAAGTTGTTGTTGAACCAAGTTGAGAGCGAGCGCGTGTTCAAGTGAAGTAATGGAGGTGATTCAGATGCCTACGGCCATACTATGAACACGCCCGATCTCGTCTGATCCCAGAAGCTTAAGTGGAGTCAGGCCTGGTTAGTACTTGGGTGGGAGACCATCTGGTAATACCAGGACCCGTAGGCTTTTCTTTCCACTGGAATCAGTGCACGTCTCGACTCCTGCCCACTCTTCCCTTTGCAATGTGCCGACTGCAGGCTGCATTTGAGCTGTACACCTGCATTGGTGGACAGTGCTACTGGTTGCAGCAAACTGGTGCTGAAAGGTTCCAGGTGGGAAGGTTCGAAATGAAGAAAGAAAGAAGGACCTTGACAAAGGAAGCAACTTCTAAAGGCTCACCGATGGGCGGGCAGGCGGGCAGACAGGCAGGACTGTTTGTCAGAGGCGATATCTGAGGCAGAAGAGAACGGAGCAGAGAGTGAGCATCTGTTCAAGTGGAGTAAAGGAGGTGCTTCAGATGCCTACGGCCACACTACTCTGAACATGCCCGATCTCGTCTGATCTCGGAAGCCAAGCAGAGTCAGGCCTGGTTAGTACTTGGATGGGAGACCGCCTGGGAATACCAGGTGCTGTAGGCTTTTATTGCCACCAGAGGCAACATTTCCCAGAGCCACATCATGACTGTGTGTTAAGTGTGTGCAACCTGGCAGCTAATTTGCGCACAGCAAAGTCCCACAAACAGCCATGGAGTGAGTGACCCAAGTTTACTTGGGGGATTTTTCATTCAATTTATTATATCCTCCTGACATGAAGGGAGCTTTACCAAATGCAAGGATTATCAAATTGATTTATTCTGGAAATGTCTTGTTACCTTTACTTTATTGTTATGCCCACGATAGTGAGCTCCATGCACTGTCTGATTGGGAGAGCCAAGTGCGAATGGGTCTGGGGGATAGAGATGCCCAGGGTCACAGACAACCAGCTTTTCACCAGCTTCCTGTGACGCCCCGTGTCCATACTGTACTCTGATGTTTATCTGATTAATGTGTTTCAGCCTGAGGGGGAATCAGTTTAGTTCAGATGGAGGGAAAAGGCTGGAGTTGCTGCGGAGACACAGACATGGACTGAAAGTGTTTGTGATCAAAGACTGAGGGAGCAGTTCTACACACAGTCACCGTGAAATCCACATTATAAACAGTCTTCTAAATGTAGATGAGAAACAGTCACTTACAATCGACACTCAGGACGGCCTCGGAGCAGACAAGTCACAAACCAGGATTTTGTTTCTCAATCGTGTCCTTAGGAAAGTAAAAAATGATACGTTTAATAAATAATATTAAGTAAAATCAGGTTGCTGTGTTGGTCTAGTCGGTCTGTCTGTACAGACTTGCTGGACTCTCGCTGTTTTGCTCCCTCACCAATTTAAGCAGTTCCAGATAGATATCTAAAACGGAGTTACTTTCAGGGATTGGATGGTGATGTGGGGACACGGCAAGTAAATGGAGCTATAAAGACACATCACACAAACAATGGGCCGAACGGCCGCCTTTGGTGCTGTATGATTCCACAACGAGACAGATCTCAAACGAAAAGCCCTGTTTTGTTCTGTAAATATTAAACAATTCATGTGGTGCACCATTTACATGGGGAGACAATCACCCTCTGAACATCAAACCTTCTTCACTTTGTGAAGGGAGGGAAGCTCAGCATTTGTCACTTGACATTTGTCACTTGACGCTGACGTCTCGTTCCCACTGACTTGTGAACAGAAATTCTGAGAGTGACCATGTCTGATGACCTGTATTCTTCCACATTTCTTGTTTATAAGAATGCAGCAATTTAGACAATTTTGAAATTGTCGCCAATGTTCTTAATGAACATCTTTTATTGCCTTAAATGTATATTTTCAAAGAAACTTGATGTGTTAATATTATTCTGTATAATGATCCCAGTCTAATTTGTGAAATAACATTTCTGTTGTGTTTTCTAATTATTCAATGTACACTGTGCCACACCCTGCTATTTCAATGTAAAATCTACAATTTAACCAAATTTTAGATCTTTATGGATTAAATATATCTGTACAGTTTGATTAAATGAGTATGAATAAGCTGATTATTATTATCAATGCCATTTGCTGCCTTTTGCCCACAAAATATACAGTCAATTCACTTTACAGTTTATTCTGTGAAGCGCTTTGAGACATCTAGAAGATGTGAAAAGCACTATGTCAAATGCAAGGATTATTATTATTAGTGATTTGAGATGTTCCCTCAGCTGTAAAAATTATCTCAACTGCAAGGATTATTAATATTACAATTAATCCTAATAATTCACTGGAAATATAAAAGATGAGGGGATGCCTTGAAAGCAATGTACATTGCAGAGTTCCTTAGCAGAATGGTTAGCAAATTCATCTCACAAGAGAGAGGCAAAACCTTTAGCAAGTTTCCTTACTCCACACACCTCTGTTTACCTAGCAGTGAGTAAGAACCTGGTTGTTATTCGATTGGTGGATCGCTTCTCAGGGGAAATAATCTCTCCAAAAAAGGGGAGTACCAGGTGCAGTAAATGATTGATAACTGCTGAGGGTGTGGGCGGTGACTGCAACTTCCTGCTAAGATTGTTTCCTGGACTTTGGTCGGGCTGTGCTTAGGATAACACCCTCTACAGCCCTGTGCACTCGGTGGGGGCTTCAGAAGCAGAGACGCTGCTCAGTCAGGAGGCAAAGAAGACGGTGAGTCTGTTCATTAGGTCTGACTGTCTTTAAGCTATTCTACTGGTCTGTACATTTCATCACATTTGTTTCCCTTGGGAAATAATAATAATAATTCTTGCATTTGATATGGTGCCTTTTCATGTTGTTGAGACGTCTCAAAGCGCTTCACAGGATATTCCGTAAAGTGGATTGACTGTGTATTTTATGAGTGATGACTGCAGGCTGCATTTCTACTGTGCACTTGATTTGGTGGACAGTGCTACTGGTTGCCGTGAACGAGTGCTGAAAGGTTCCGGGTGGCAACGTGTAAAACGAGCAAATAAAACGTGGTCTTTGAGAAAGGAAGCAAGTTTTTTTTAAAAAAAAGCATGCTGAAAGGCAGGCAGGGTTGCTTTGAAGAGGTGATGCCTTAAGTAAAATGCTCATTGGAACCGAGCTGAGAATGAGTGTGTGTCAGACACCCAGCTAACAAAAAAAATGCATTGAGAGCACTTTCTGGTGAGTTTTACTCTGCTCGTTCCCCCGAGGACCACCCTACTCTGTCGGGCTTTGGCTTCCAGGGTGGTGAACAGGAGCCAAAAGGGAAGAATCCCTGATCCCAGCGACTTGAGCTTTTTTGATTCAGGAGTAACAGATGCAGGAAAGGATTGAGGATGTGGGAGTGACTGTTATTGCCAAGATCGGCTTCTGCAATTTGACCAGGATGTGCTGTGGACAACGCCCCGTACAACCCGGGGCACTCGGGGGCTTCAGAAGCACAGACACGGATCAGGCTGCTCAGTCAGGAGGCAGAGAAGATAGTGAGTCCGCTCATTAGGTCTGACTGTAGTTCAACCATACCGAGACCTTCTCCGTCACGTTAACAGGATGTTTAGAGCTATTTTCCCCAACAAAGAGCTTTTTTTTCTCTAAGCCTCCCACCACACAGCTTTCGATGCTCAGGCTCGCTTAAGTGCAGGAAGACTGGGTGGAATTGGTGTCAGTGGGCGCTGCTTGTGACTGTAACTGGGACTTCACTGTCCCCATTCCATCTCCGGTCTGGGGGAGCTGAACAGAGGCACTCAGGCAAGTTAAGATCAGAAACATGGAGGTGGAATCTTGCTGAGGGAATGAAATGGCTGTGATTTTTCGCAAATATTAAAGAGCAATGATTGAAAAAGGGAGACCCACAAATGAAGGCGTTTGGTTTCTGTGCCATGCTGTTGCCCACGTTAATCTAGTCAAGAAATAAGAGGTGTTGGCTGGGAGTGTTAATAATAATCTCTGCATGTGATATAGCGTCTTATCATGTCTTCTAGTGTGGAGTGAGGGAACTTGCCCAACGTTTTGCCCTGCCTCGAATTGAATCCAGGTGAGGCGAGGGGGACTCCAGATTGGAGGATCGCGCTCATCGCACTGCAGTGCGGGTAACTGTTTTAGAATGGTCATCATGAGACGGATCAGTTCTTCCACATGTCCAGGATAACCAGGGGTGGATTTATCCAGAGGTTCTAGGGGCTGCAACCCAGGACCTGGATTTTGAAGGGCCCCCCCAAAAAGAGCGAGTTGCGACACCAAGGAAGCAGCAGGAGTCCTGCACAGGTTGTGTAACGTGCTGACCTCCAGAGAGGTCGGGATTTCGGCTTATTATGTTTATAATATTATTAGGGCTTCTCGGGCATGTGTGAAAAGAGTGTGAGACGGAGAGAAGAGGTAGCGGACGAGGAGAAGTCACTGAATCAGGGTTCAAGTGGATCATACTAAAGTGTTATGTAGTTCCTGATTGACATCAAACTGATAAAATCAATGTGTGTCATTATTTGCCCGTGATACTGACTGAGACGTTCAGTTCCATCTATGACATTTAATCCTTGAAGGGCAAGCCATAGTGTCTCTTGTGCTGTTCCCGCATTGTGATGCTGAAGCATTCATACAGTAAGAAAATGATTCGGATGTTATGGTAGCTTTATGACTAAATGTAAGCTAAAGATATGAATATTTTTAAAAAATACATTACTATTTGCTCCCTTATCTTTCCTTAGAGGGGCCCCCCAAACTATAATAGCTATGGGCCCCCATCATGCTTAATCTAGCCTTGAGGACAACACACCAGAAGATCAGCATCTACTTGTTGACTCCGTGTATGATTGAGAGCTGCAGAGGATGTGATCAAGAGCGCTATTTCCTGAGCTGTGGTCGGCCTGCGCTGAGACAACGCCCTGCACAGCTCAGGGCACTCGGAGGAGCTTCAGAAGCAGAGACACGGACCAGGTCACTCAGTCAGGAGACAAGAGAAGACGGTAAGTCCCCCTCCCCATTAGGTCTGACTTTGGTCCAACACCCTCCCACCCCAAGACCGTCCCTCTCCTTCCTGTTAACACGGTGTTTAAAAGTTATTTTCCCCACAAAGAGGATTTGGACCAATAACTAACAAACAGCAGACGAGATAAGAGGCAAAAACATGTGGTGTCTTTGACTGACGCCCATTGACCAGCTTGGCTTGTCTTGTCTCAGGCAACAACTCGTCCCTAAACCTACACCTCAGTTCGATTCGTCCGCGAGGTTGTTGATCATTACATTTAGGCTGTAAAACTTTATTTTCTCTCTGAACTTCCTCTCCCCCCTCCCTCCTTCCCTCCCTCTCCTTTCAGTTTCATCTGAGCTTTGCAGTCAATGCTCAGGCTCTCAGTGCAGGACTGGGTGGTGGAATTGGTGTTAGTGGGCACTGCTGGTGGCTGCCACTGACCCCCCCCCCCCCCCACCCCATTTGTGTGTTTGGTTTGGATGGGTGTGGGTGGGAGCTGCTCAGAGAACCCCCCCCCCCACCCCAGGCAGCTTGAGATCACAGACAGGAAGTGGAGTCTCGCTGAGAGACTGAAATGGCCGCGCTTCTAGCTGCTAAGCCAGAGGAAATGGTGATGCTCCTCAGGAGGAGAGGCTTTGGGGGGGCTTCTTGGCTCAGTTGCTGCTGCTGGTCTTCCACCCCGACTGCGGGCTCTTCTCTGCTGTGCTTTGGGCTTTCAAGGTCGTGCAAGAAATAGAGCCTGCGTTAATCTAGTCAGGAAATGAGAAGCGATGGTTGGGAAGGTTGTGTTATATGTATGTGGTGGGGGGAGTCGTGCTCACAGCACTGCTGTGTGGGTGACTTGTTGGGGAATGTTCATCAGGTCAGTTCTTTAACTCGTTCAGGACATCACACCTGCAGATCACCATCTACTTGCTGCTACTGTGTTGGGCTGAGGAACACCAGCTCCTCAACCCTCTGCTGTCACTTACATTTCCTAAAATTGACTTGACTTTGGAAACTGACTTCATCTCTTGGTGATTAAATCGCAAAACGTTCCACACACCAACTGGCGTTTCTTCCCCATCAATGTCCTTTTCTCCCACCTGAGTCTCCTACTCTAACCCCCACTCTCCTGATCCCTCCACCCAGCGCTTAATATTCCACCTTTTCAAGAATCCATCTAATGACCCGTGAATTTTCTTTTGGCCAGCCCGGTGTCTGACACATACAATAATAATAAACCTTATATTTGGTTGTCACACCTTTCACAGCAGGAGCATATCCTAAAGCGCTTCACAGAATATACTGTAAAGTGCAGTGACTATTTTTGTAGGCACATACTGAAACCCATCACCAGGTTTAAGAATATCCCAATAAAACTGAGAATTCCATGTATCCCACGACACATGGAAATTAATATGATTTGTGATGGAATGCACACTCTCTCCCTTGAGGGATGCATCCTGCTTACCTGATTCTGGAGAGTAATAGACGCAGGTTGGCAAGAGCCAAGGCTTGGGGAGCACAGAGTCTGTGCTGGGGTAATTGCTGGAGTATAACCAGCTAAAACCGCATAGCTTGCCTTTGAAAGCTCCGTCCTGCATGTCCAGCTCGGACCAGCTCACCCTTTAGGGCTTTGGTTTGCAGTGCTAACGACGAACACATGCCCCGGTGACTGTTCTGCTCCTCCAAGTCCTGCTGACTGACTGGGTTGTCGTCTGGAGTACTGTGGACCCGCCTGGCTCAGCAAACAAACACAGAGAGTGGACTACATTCTGACATTCCAGATGTCACCTTGGAGCCAGTTCAGCTCCAAGGACGGCCCGTCTATCTTCTCCCCAAGGACGATAGTTGCAAGTTAGTCATTTGATATCTGACAAGCACAGGTTTATAGTAATAATCCTTATACTTGGTATAGTGCCATTCACGTTGGGAGGACATCCCAAACTTGTTCATAGGATATACAATAAAGTGCAGTGACAATGTATTTTCTGACACAATCGTTATTATTACCTTATCATTTTACAGGTGACTCCATGACTCCCGAGAGTTTTTGAAAACCATTTAACGACCATGGCTGAAGCTCCCAATCCTAATCCACCGTTGACAACTGACAATGGGAAGAAACGTGACTCAGGCAAGTTTAGAAAATCCTCCTCGGATATACACTGTGCACGGAGCTAGGGAGGGGCCGACTTTAAATTACTATCCAGTGGGACAGATGTTGGGAATGTGATCAGTGGTAAAATTCCCAGCAGAATATTTTCACCTCTGAATCAGAAGGTTGTGTGTTCAAGCCCCACGTTGGGAATTTGAACTCATCGTCTATGCTGACACTCCAATACATTAATGGAGGTTTTTTCATACAGATGAAATGGTTATATAAAGGTCCCATGATCCTTGCATTTGATATAGAGCCTTTCTTGTCCGGAAGACATCTCGAAGCACTTGACTGTAAAGTGGAGTGACTTTATAATTATAGGCAAATATTTATAGGCAACTTGTGCGCAGCAGTGTCCGAAAAAACAGCGATGAAGTGAAGGAACAATTTTATTTAGCTTTAAATCCCTCCAGTCTGGCCTCACGCAATCTCTGAGACCTGCTCAAGCACTAGCAACTTGGTTCCTCGCTTTTCTTAATGACCACTGGCCTGCTTCATGTCCCTCGCCCTACCCACCATTGTCAGTTAGGCTTTCGGCTTAGTTGAGCCAATCTGACCCCATTCTCCGAAACACTGACACATCTGGTCATCTTTTCCCTTCCCACAGAAGGGAGAAGGGAGTTTCTCTCTCCCAGTTTCCTGGCCAACAATCCCCCCAGATAAAAATGGTCATTCACTTCATGGCTATTTGTGCATTCTCGTAAAAATAGTTACAGCACTTTATAGTAAATCTTGTGTGTAGTCCTTTTAAGCATCCTCCTGGCGTAAACGATGGCATATCAAATGCAAGTATTTTTATTATCAAAGTAGATTAATCAGTATATTGTATGATATGAGTTTTTAAGGTGTCAATTATTGTTGGCAGGTTCAAAGGCCACATTCTCCGAGACACTCGATCTATACAATGAATTCCAGCTGTTGAAACTCACAAAGTTCTACCAGGAAAGAATAGAACAGGCCATCGAAGGACACGTGAAGTCTGTCAGCTCTGCGCTGACAGAGAAGAAATATTTCAGTGAAAAGGAACACCAAGTAGGTGCAGTCAGACGGAAAGAGTCCTTTACATTGATAAACTTCCCCTGTGGGAAGGTCTGTCTCCCATTGTTTGCAAAGCTGTGTCTTTCCACCACGGTTTGGTATAACTCATAATGTTCCCCTCATCTTTCTTCATCATGTCTTCTTGTCCTCATCGCTTGTTGTATTTCACTTCTGTACTTGCGCATTTATTCCCAGTTACTTTCTGTGTTAATGAGCGGTACTGCCTACCACCACCTCCGCAACATTGCCAGACTCCACCACTGCTGCCGAAACCCTCACCCACAGATTCGTCACATCAAGGCTCTATTATGGAAACTCCCTCCTCATCGGCCTTCCCAACTCTTCCCTTCACAAGCAGCAGATCATCCAAAACTCTGCAGCTCGTGTACTCTCGCGCACCAGGCTCCGTAACCCCATCACTCCCACCCTCGCCCGACTTCACGGCTCCCCATCCCTCAGAGGATCGAATTCAAGATCCTTGTCCTCACTTTCAAGGCCATCCATGGTCTCTCTGACCTGCTGACTCCTTAGCAACCTGCCCGCTGCCTCCGTTCAGCGGGCTGCTGCATATCTCCCATATTGAGGTCAGGCTACTGTGTCTGTAGTTACCAGGTAGGATGGAGCTGGTAAGGTCCTGGTCACTCTCTGTGCCCACGTTTCACTCTGCCCTTCAGTAAATGAATGACTGTTCTCTGCAGACACTCACCGAGCTCCAACAGAATGAGCAGATGAAAGAAAACCCCGAACTTCTTTTCAACCTGGTGATGGGAAAAGACCCCAAGGCCCAGCGAGTGATGTGGGAATACTTAGAGGAAATGAGGAACACTTTGCCCAAGTTACATAAAATACTGACTGAAATACAGGAACAAGGTACTGTGTGAATTTACACTGATTCTATTCGCTGGTGTCCAACACACCCACAGTTCGGGCTCCCAGGCAACTGTGCGAAACGCTCTGAATCATCCTCAAGACATGAAAGTTGCTGATAGATGTAAACTGTTGTTGGTGATATACACCTTTTATTTATTCAAACTAATGAAATGAACTTTATTCAAACAGGTACGAGTCTTGTAAAGATTGTGACCATTTCTCACAGTGTATCGGAAGTTCCCAGTAAACTAAAAGGTATGTAACGTGGCAAGGATACAAACGGGTTGTTTCACTTTTGGAATGGAATCTGAATGTTCACCATTTGTACCAGTGGATCAATCTGGAGCAGTGGTAGTGCTCTCGCCTCTGATTCAGAAGGTCATGGGTTCAAGCCCCACGTTGGGACTTGGCATCGTATGACACTCCAATGCAGCGCTGGGGGTGTGTTGCATTGTCAGTGGTGCCGTCCTTCTGACGAGATGTTAAACTGAGGTCCCATCTGCCTGTTCAGGTGGACTTTAATGATCGCATGGCGCTAACTGAAAAGAGAAGGGAGTTTTTGCAAGTGTCCTCGTCAACAAATGCTCCAAGTAAAATTGGTTACTCATTAAGCACTCCGAGATACTACCCCATGTAAAGGGCGCATTATATGCAAGTTGTTGTTGATGTGGGACTTTGCTGTGCGTAAACTGACTTCAGCGTTTCCCCCATACAACACAGTCAAAACCACTTTACCGTATATCCTATGAATTGCTTTGAGACGTTGTAGTGAGATGATAAGATGCCCCATCCCCGCTATCATCAAAAGCCCCACAGGACACACCACAATGGCTAACCTCTCCTCCCTCATCCACATTTTAACCCCCACTGCCGATCCTCCGCGCCCCCCACCCACCCCTCCTCCATCTCACACATTCCTCTGCCAACAGGTCCGTGAAACAGTTGTTGCTTCGCAGGTTCACTGCTTCCTCTCCTGCCACTCTTTTTGCAAATCCCTCCAAATGGCCTGATCAAGGTGACAAATGACATTCTGTCCATTGGTGACAAATCCCTCTGTCTCCTGGTGCTCCTCGACCTCACTGCTGCTTTCAACACTATGGACCACTCTATCCTCTCACCTCAACCTTCAAGGTTCTGTCCTTGAATAGTTTGGATCCTATTTCTCACACCGGCCCCACTTTGACTTCACAAACGGCTTCTCCTCCAGCCCCCGCACCATCTCATGGAGTGTTCCACATGCTCTCGCTTGGTGACATCATCTGCAGAGATGGGATCAATTTCCACATTTATGCGGACCCAACTCTGCCTCTCTCGCTCCACCCCAGGGTCACTAAAGTCCTGACAGATTGCCTGTGAGACATTGTTCTGGATGAGAGCCAACTTTTACAGTTAAACGTCAGCAAGAACAAGGCTCTCCTGATTGGCTTGTGTCATGCCTCCACACTTCGGGCACTGGCAGCATCAGCATCCACGGATGCACACTCCACCTCACCGAATCAATCAGGAACCTCAGCGTCTTGTTTGACCCTCAACTGTCCTTTCTTCCCCACATCCATGCCATGACCATCTCTGCCTTGCCCCACCTCCGCAACATTGCCCAACTCCGCCACTGCTTCAATCCTCAGGTCTCTGAAACCCTCATACACGTCTTGATTACATCTAGGCTTAACTATGCCAACTCCCTGCTTGTTGGCTTTCACAACTCTTCCCTCCACAAGCTGCAGATCATCCAGAACACTGCAGTTTGTGCCCTCTCTCGCACCAGGCACCGTGACCCCATCACACCCACACTCGCCTGGCTCCACTACCTCCCCATCCCTCAGGGTATCGAGTTCAAAATCCTCATCCTCACCTTCAAGGCCCTCCCCTCCTACCTCTCTAACTTGCAACCTGTCCCTTATCAACCCGTCTGCTCCCTCTGCTTCGCAGGCTGCATCGGCAATTGGTCCTTCAGCCTCTCTGCCCCCACCCTCTGGAACTCCATCCCACATTCCCTTCACCTCGCTCCTCTTCTGATCCTCCTCTTTTGACCATCTCCCAACACTCTCTGCCCTCCACCCTCCCTGATCCCAATACCCCACTATTACGCATTCCCCGCTCATGTCCATATCCCTAATCACTGGCTGTTCAGCACCTTGGGACGTCACCTGACATGAAAGGCGCTTTACAAATGTAATTTTGTATTGTATTGTAACCTAAGCATAGAAATTTCCCTGTCTGGAATGGAATATGCATTGCTCCCTGGAGAGTTTCACCTTTACCTAAATCTGCCGCAGGTTAGCAAGAGCCAAGGCTTGGGGAACCCAGAATGTGTGTGTGGAAAACAGCTGGAGTTTAATCAATGAAATGCTCACATAGAGGTTCACATAAGCAAAGATAAGCAAATCTTTGAAGGTGACAGGACAGGTAGATAAAGCTGTTTTAAAAAAAAAAAGCATACGGGATCCTTGGCTTTATAAATAGGGACATAGAATACAAAAGTAAGGCGGTTATGATGAACCTTTATAAAACACTGGTTAGGCCTCAGCTAGAGTACTGTGTTCAGTTCTGTGCACCACACTTTAGGAAGGATGTCAATACCTTGGAGAGGGTACAAAGGAGATTTACCAGGATGGTAACAGGAATGAGGGACTTGAATTATATGGAGAGACCAGAGAAGCTTGGATTGTTCTCCTTAGAGAAGAGAAGCTTAAGGGGCGATTTAATGGAGGTGTTCAAAACGATGAGGGGATTTGATAAAGTGTTCAGGGAGAAACTGTTTCCACTGGCAGGTGGGTAGGTAAGTAGGGGACAGAGACTTAAGATATTTGTCAAAAGAACTAGAGGGGAGATGAGGAGAAATGTTTTCATACATCGAGTGTTCAAATTTCGAATGCATTAACTGAAAGGATGATGGAAGCAGATTCAATAACACCTTTCGAGAGGGAAGCGGATAGATATGTTGGGAGGACAAATTTGCAAGGCTATGCTGAGAGAGCGGGGGAATGGGATTAAATTGGATAGCATTTTCAAAGAGCCGGCAATGGCACGATGGGCCAAGTAGCATCCTTCTGTGCTGTATAATTCTATGATTCTATGAAATATTGCCAATAAGAGCAATGTGTGGCAAACTCCCTCCACTGCTGGTCCAGCGAGGAATCAATGGTTGAGGAAAGGGGGAGAGGAGGTTGGACTCTTCCATTATTTCAGTAACTATTTTCTTTTTCATAAACATTTAATGTTCCTTGAATACACTAACGATGGTGTCCAGCAAGCCATCATATAATTTATTGTAATATAAAAGTTTTTACAAGCTGTATCCACCATTACTAACCCCTGTATCAATGCTCTAAATAAAGATGTTCAGAAACAGCACAAGGAGGTACTTCAGAAGCAAAGTGAAACAATGAAAGTGAACACTATCCTGGTTAAAGAGAAAGAGAAGACGTTTAAGCTGGTTGATCGATACACAGAGCTGACTATCATTTCTGATCTTCGTGGCCTGAAACTGGTAGAACATGAGCTGGTGGCGAGAGGTAGAGACCATGAGAAGTGTAGAGAGAAGCTGCTCCAGGGAGAGCTGGAAAAAATCCGAATTGATCAACTGTTTCACAGCAGCTTCTCTACAGGAACCCTTTGGTCCTGGATTAAAAGTTTCATCTGGACCAGTGAGGCAGGGACGTCAGCGGTAGTGAGTGGAGTGGCAGGAATTGGAAAAACAACCATGGTGCAGAAGATTGTCTATGAGTGGGCAAGAGGAGAAATCTATCCTGACTTTCATTTTGTCTTCATTTTTAAATGTCGAGACTTGAACAGTCTGAAATGTGAAATAAATCTGAAACATCTGATCCTGGATGAGTATCCTCACCTCAGGAATGTTGTGGGAGAGCTGTGGAAACACCCAGACAGGTTGCTGTTTATATTTGATGGTTTGGATGAATTCAGTGGCAGGATCGACTTCGCTGACAATCAGAGATTCACAGAACCTCGGCACATGTGCACTAATCCTGAATTCTGGTGTGAAGTGTCTGACATTCTGCACGGCTTAATACAGAAGAAGCTGCTCAAAGGCTGCTCAGTGCTGGTGACCAGCCGTCCCACGGCATTACACCTACTGGAAAAGGCTCAGGTCAGTGTCTGGGCTGAATTACTGGGATTTGTGGGTGAAGAGAAAAAGGAATATTTTCAGAACTGCTTTGAAAGTAAAAATGTGGGGGCAGCTGTCTACAAATACGTGGAGGAGAACAAGCTCCTGTTCACCTTGTGCTACAACCCGTCCTACTGCTGGATCCTCGGTCTGTCTCTGGGACCTTTCTTTACACAGAAAAAAATGAAACGGAAGCCAATTCCCAAGACAGTCACACAGCTATTCTCCTACTTTATCTATAACATTCTAAAGCATCACTGTATAGATGTTGAAAACACCCACAATGTGATGCTGAAGCTTGGTGAGATGGCCTTCAATGGCATCTGCCACAAAAAGATTGTCTTCAATAATGAAGACTTAATCAAATATGGCCTGAAACCTTCACAGTTCCTCTCTGGGTTTCTCATGGAACTTGTGGAGAAAGAGTCTTCAGAGCACAGCGTGGTGTACACATTCCTGCACCTCACCATCCAGGAGTTTCTAGCTGCACTCGCTCAATTCCTGTCTCACAACCCCAATCTCAACAGATACTTGAATGTTGATGAAATAGAGGATGGCAGGTTTGAGATATTTCACCGCTTTCTTGCGGGTCTCTCCTCCCCACAGGCAGCTCACCCACTGGAAGAGTTTGTGCAAAAATTAAACCATCAGACAACCTGTTCAGTGATTGATTGGGTGAAGGTGAAGGTTGAAGCTAAGATCAGAGACACAGACACTGTTGCTGGGAAAAGGAAGCTGCTGAACACTTTCCATTACCTGTTTGAGTCTCAGAATCATGGTCTGGCACGTCAAACACTGGGCTCCATGAAATCACTCACATTTGGTGCCTCCTCTGCACGGAAAGCATTGCGACTGACTCCAATAGACTGTGTTGTACTGTCTCACACCATTGGGTTGTGTGACACCATCAAAAAACTGGATCTGCGGAACTGCTACATTCAGGATGAAGGGCTCCGGCGTTTGGTTCCTGAACTTCACAAGTGTCAGGAGTTGTGGTAACTTCAGCTTTCTGTCTCTTTTATTTTAATAACCAACAGGCACATAATTGTCTAAAGAAGAGCACCGAGTCTCACATAATTGTCACATAGGAATAATAGTATTTCAGTGGATGGAATGGTCTGGCCAGTAGTGGAGATGCCGTTGTTCTAATGAGACATTAACCCGTAGGACTGTATGTGGGACATTGCTGTGCATAATTTGCATACACCTTTACATTGTATCCTGTGAAGTGTTTGAACACTTGTAATATGGTACTATATCAAATGTGAGTTTTATGATTACTATTCAATCTAACGGAGTTTCGGAGGAACCTCTTGAAGCAGAAGGTAGTATGAATGTGGAACTCACTGCTGGAAGCTGTGGTTGAAGCAGAAATGAACATATTTAAGAGGAAACTCGGTGCATACATGAGAGAGAGCAGTAGACTTGGAGGATAAACACAGCCCACACTAGTTTGCTTGAATGGCCTGTTTCTGTACTGTGTAACTCTGCTTACAGTGCAGCTGGCAGCACCAGGTACTGGGAGCTTCCCACTTATCTATCTAGGATAACCCTCCCTGTTACAGTGTTCGGCATCAATAGCAGGATGAGCCTGGCCAACTGTTCAATCACCAACACTGTCCCACAGGAACATTTTAAATGATGGGAACTCATGTTCTTTAATTGACCACAGTTGCTTCTGTGCTTAATACATTAATATAACTCACTGTATGTTATTCACTGTGGTTCTGATCACTGTCTCTGTGTCCAGGCTTTTGGGCAATAATCTGGGAGATTCAGGAATGAAGGCCCTATCTGAGGCTCTTAGGAACAGGGAGTGTAAAATAGAGAAGCTGCGGTAAGTATAATGTGAGATTGTCTCACTGGTTTTAACTCTGGGCGTTGTATCCCAATTACACTCTACACTGATTATTATTACTATTTATCAATCATGTTATAACATTAAACATTCCAAGATACTACCCGCGTGAAGATCACTGTGTAATACAAGTTATTGTTGTTATTATTATAAATGGATTCCCAGCCCTCACACCAGTCACTGGCAGACCACTCAGCTCTGTTAACCCTGCAAGCCAAAGCCCTGACAGGTAGGGTGGTCTGAGCTGATCAAGTAGCCGGAAAGCTGGCCAGACAGTGTTATCAATGGCAAGCTATGCGGTTTTAGCTGGTTAGACTCCCAACAGTTATCCCATCGCACACTCTGGGGTCCCCACGCCTTGGCTCTTGCCAACCTGAGCCTAAAACCTTCCAGAATTAGGTAAGTGGATGCATCCCTCCAGGGAGAGAGTGCACATTTTATTCCAACAATGTATCTCTGGAATTCCCATGTGTAGTCGGGATGCATGGAATTCTCAGTTTACTTTGGATACTCTTGAGCACGGTGATGGCATTCCATATGTGTCAGATATCTATGTGAGCCACTGTCTTTTCTCCCTGTCCCCGGTCATCAATAATCTCTGGGCTTTTAACCTTCAGGTGGTTTCCCTTTGAATCTTCTGGATCACGTTTTACCTCTGACATCAATCATCTGTTTTACATCTTCCCCAACCCTACTCCGCACGCCACACACCCTATTCCCTCCACTCCTCACCCCTTCCACTTTCTATTCCTCCTCAACAGCCCCAAGTTCCAGGCTTTGCCAGGCACACCTTGGCATATGTCACAGGCTCTCCCAAAGCACCCACCCCCCATCACAGGGCTCGTCCTCCCCACACCATCTGAATAAACCCCTCACCTGATCACCATCTCCCCAACCCCCCACCCCCATCCCTGCCCTCCCCCTTCATCTCCATTAACTCCTCCATTGGAGTCCTGCAGCTCAGTGGTTAGAGCACTCGCTTTGCAAGTGAGAGACCTGAGTTCAATTCCAGGCAGAGGGCGAAACCTTGGGCAAGTTTCCTTACTCCACACAGAGCCTAATAATAATCCCTCCCAAAAACCAAAAACAATAATAAATTGGTGATTTTCAATCTATATGACTGTTTGTGGGACATTGCTGTGCGCAATTGGCTGCCGCGTTCGCCCACAAATATACAGTCAATTCACTTTACAGTGTGATCTGTGAAGCGCTTTGGGACATTCTCCCGACGTGAAAAGCACTATATCGAATGCAAGGATTATTATTATTTTTATACGTAGGTTATGCACAACACCCAAATTTTCCTTTTCGACTCTTGATTGCAGATCTACTGATGTTCTGTCCACTTGCCAGACATCAAGACCTCGATGATCCAACGTTTACTGGAACTCAGCATCCTCCTCAGTTCCCACCAACATCTCCTCTCTTCTGGCTCTAACCTCCCCAACTTTCCCGGCCTCTCTCAAACTCTCCTAACTGTTGCACCATTTCGGTTGCAGTTCAATACCCAGTTTTTTCCATGTCACCCATCTCAGCTCCTATCTAACACCCATTGCCACTGAGACTTTCATTCACGCCTTTCTCATATCTTTCTTAGACTTCTCCAATCACTCCTCGCTACTCTCCCTGGCTCCACGATCCACATGCTTCAACTCTGATCTGTGTCTCTGATCTCCAGGTTGCAGGATAACGGACTGACAGATGATTGTACCAAGGATCTCGTCTCTGCTCTCAGTACAAATCACTCACTGACGGAACTATATCTGGACAATAATAAACTGGGAGATTTGGGAGTGAAGCGACTGTCTGGGGCTCTGAGGAAACCGGAGTGTAAAATACAGAAGCTGGAGTAAGTAACACACTGAGTGAGATTGTGTCAGACACTGGCTATAAACATTGGATGTTATATTATGTGTACACTCTACGCTGATTATTATTCATATCTATAAACCCTGGTTATTATATCACACCTGCTGTATGCGGTAATTTGTATTATTTTACATAAATAATGTGAGTTCTTCTCTGTTCATCAGTAAATGTATTCAGTTTTTGATACGAGTTTACACTGAGAAATCATCTCACATACTAACACTCCCAGAGTCAGTCAGTGTGTGTTTAAACTGATCCCTGTCATTTCTCTTTTGTCTCTGATCTCCAGTCTGGGGGATAACAGCCTCACAAATGATTCTATCGAGGAACTTGCCTCTGTTCTCCGTACAAACAGCTCACTGAAGGGTCTGAACCTGGATTATAATAAACTGGGAGATTCAGGAGTGAAGTTACTGTCTACGGCACTGAGTAACTCAAAGTGTAAAATAGAGAGACTGTGGTATGTAACTCACTGTGAGAGATTGTGTCAGACACTGCCTTAGTACTCTACTCGAATTATTACTATTTATAAACTCTGATTAATGTAACACAACCTGCCGTATACAGTAATTTACATTATTGTGTTTAAATGAGGTGTTCAATATTCCTCAATAAATTTATACAGTTGTTGGTTTGTTTACACTGAGAAATCTCCTCACACCCTCACATCAGCAAGGTGTAACTCCCAGAGTCCGCTCCTGTGTGTTTATACTGACCCCTGTCATTTCTCCATCTCTGATCTCCAGGCTGAGTAACAACAGTTTGACAGCTAAGTGCACCCAGGATCTTGCCTCCGCTCTGAGTAAAAGCAGCTCTCTGACAGAGCTGTACTTGAATTGTAATAACTTGGGAGATTCAGGAGTGGAGCAACTGTCTGAGGCTCTGAGGAACCGAGCGTGTAAAATAGAGAAACTGTGGTAAGTAATACGCTGCGGGAGATTGTGTCAAGCGCTTTGGGATGTGTTCCAGATGTGAAAGATATTATATAAATGTTGTATTTTATTATTTATACACTGGGAAAGATCTACATTTTAAGGTCCATTTCAAGCCCAATCTCTTTGATTGCTTTCAATCGTGTTTCCTCAACCCAAAGTCTGAAACATTACCAGAGACAGTTCCTGTGTGTTCATACCCATCATGTCATTTCTCCATCTCTGATCTCCAGGCTGGAGAGTAACGGCCTGACAGGTAACGGTATCAAGAGTCTGGCCTCTGCTCTCAGTACAAACCGCTCACTGACTGAACTGCACCTGGATTGTAATAAACTGAAAGATTCAGGAATGAAACAACTCTCTGACGCTCTGAGGAAGCCGGAGTGTAAACTGGAGAGACTGTGGTACGTAACTCGCTATGAGATTGTGTCAGTAACTACTTGTTACATCCCAAGTATACTCTTCAGTGATTATTCTTATTACTATTTAAAAATTCTGGTTATATCACAGTTTGCTGTGTACAGTAATTTATATTGTGTGTAAATGTTTGGGTTATTCTTTGCTCCTCAGTAAATTTGTATAGTTTAATGTGAATTTACACTTACAGAATTTACAGAAATAGCCTCACACACTCACATCACCAACCTGTGTAACTTTACCAGAAAGTCAGTGCCTGTATTTATACTGATACAGTAGTGTCGTTTATCTGTCTCTGATCTCCAGGCTGCGGGATAATAGACTGACAGATGATTGTACTGAGGATCTCGTCTCTGCTCTCAGCACAAATCACTCACTGACGGAACTGTATCTGGATAATAATAATCTGGGAGATTCAGGAATGAAGCGACTGTCTGGGGCTCTGAGGAAACAGGAGTGCAAATTACAGAAGCTGGAGTAAGTAACACACTGACTGATATTGTGTCAGACACTGGGTATAAATGCTGGGTATTAGTCTATGGACACTCTACACTGATTACTGTTATTAATATTTATAAACACTGGCTATTATATCACAACGCACTGTTTACATTATTCCTGTTGTATATCATGATTGTGTATAAATAATGTGAGTTATTTTATGTTCCTCTGTAAATGTATTCAGTTGTTGGTGTGAGTTTACTCAGAGAAAGCCCCTCACACACTGACATTGCCATGGTCTGTAACTTGACGAGAAGCAGTGCCTGTGTTTTTCTCCTGATCACTGTCATTTCTCCATCTCTGATCTCCAGGCTGGGTCACAACAATTTGACAGCGAAGTGTACCGAGGATCTCGCCTCCGCTCTCAGTAAAAACTGTTCACTGACAGAGCTGCATCTGCACAACAATAAACTGGCAGATTCAGGAGTGAAGCGACTGTTTGTGGCTCTGAGGGACTCGGGCAAAATACAGCAGCTCTGGTGAGTAACACACGGTGTGATATTATCTCAGTAACGGTTTCCATGGTTCCAATCCCACTTGACTTATCCTCTCCACTTTGCTTCCTGCAATGACTTCTCTTCTCACTCACACAATCGGAGTACCTTGTGGAGTACCTCAGGATCCTGACCTTGGTTCTCTCATCTTCCTGACCCACAAGCTTCCCCTTGGTAATGACATCTGCAAACATGGAATAGTTTTCACTTGACACCCAGTTCTACCTTGGTCCTTTCCCATGATATTCTGATCACCTGCTTGTCAGACATCAAGTCCTGGGTGAACCTCAACTTTCTTCAGCTAAACAAGACAAAGCAATCCTCAGCTTCGATTTCCTCAACCGCGTCCCCTCCTGCACCAGCCACTGTGAGCCTATTAACCCCATCCTCGCTCAGCTCCACTTACTCCCCAAGCCCCAGTGGATCAAATTCAAGTTCCTCATCCTCGCTTACAAATCCCTCCATGGCCTTTATGGAGTCCTGTAGCTCAGTGGTTAGAGCACTCGCTTTGCAAGCGAGAGACCTGAGTTCAATTCCAGGCAGAGGGCGAAACCTTGGGCAAGTTTCCTTCCTCCACACAGAGCCTAATAATAATCCCTCCAAAACCAAAAAACAATAATAAAATTGGTCATTTTCAATTTTCGGCTGTTTGTGGGACATTGCTGTGCGCAATTAGCTGCCGCGTTCGTCCACAAATATACAGTCAATTCACTTTACAGTGTGTTCTGTGAAGCGCTTTGGGACGTCCTCCCGACGTGAAGAGCGCTATATCAAATGCAAGGATTATTATTATTGTCCCGTCCACCCTTTGTAACCCAACGGACTCAGCCACCCCTTGACGTTTGGTTGAATCCTCAGCTCTCTATCCTTCCTCACACTCTGACCAAGATTGCTTTTCTGCTCCTTCCCTCAACCCCTCCATCTTGCTCTATCTCTATCAATCTTCACTAGTTACCTGAAAACCTACCTCTTTGACAACATGTTTGGTCACTGCCCTCCACCCTCCCCAGTTTGGTGTCTGCCATCGTCTCTGTAAAGCTGTCTGAGATGTTACTCTACAAAAAGAGTGTTGTACAACACAAGCTATCGGTGTAACCTAGTTATAAATTCTGTTCATTTACTCTGATCTCTGTTATTCTCCGATCTCCAGGCTGCAGAGCAACAGTCTGTCAGATGATTGCACCAATGATCTCATCTCCTTTCTCAGAGCAAACTCCTCACTGAAGATCCTGTCCCTTGAGTCAAATTTCTTCACCGACCAGTCTGTCCAAGCTCTCTGTGAAGTCATAGAGACCAATCGCACCAATCTGAAAGAGATTCTGTGAGTATTTGTCAGTTTATTAATCATTAATAATACTTGAGTTTGATAAAGGACGTTATCACACCAACGAGATGTCTGAAATTGCTTCACAGAATAAACTGTAAAGTGTCATGACTGTGTATATTTTGTGAGTAAATCTGGCAGCCAATTTGCCACAGCAAAGTCCCACAAACAGCCATGGAGTGAGTGACCCAAGTTTACTTGGGGGATTCTTCATTCAATTTATTATATACTCCCAACATGAAGGGAGCTTTACCAAATGCAAGGATTATCAAATTAATTTATTCTGGAAAAGTCTGTTGCCTTTACTTTATTGTTATGCCCACGATAGTGAGCTCCACGCACTGTCTGATTGTAGGGAGAACAAAGTGCGAGTGGATTTGGGGCATAGGCGTACCCAGGGACACAGGCAACCAGCGGAGAGAGTGAGTGGAGCTTTACTGGGTCTGAAGAGTTGGGTTCAGGCCACTCATCTCGGAGTCTACAGGTATTGTGCATTGGTTGGGGCGGGTGGACCCGGGAGGAGAAGAGGAGGCCTTCAGGAACAGCAGCCTAGAGCAGTGCTGTCCAACAGTGGGATAATTCAGCCTCCACGTGAAAGAGAAGCCTGTGGAATGTCTTAGAGAAGAGCCAAGACATTGTTATTCGTGGAATCACTGAGTCTGGTGAGGAGCAGGGCAGGGAGATGATCTCCCTTACTTAGGAGTCTCTACACCTGTTTTACTGGCATTTAGACCGTTGGCATTTAGTTTAATAACATTGTTTGTTTACCAGTTATTTGGCTGCCAGTGACTGCTTCTCCTGTGACATCCTCTGTCCATACTGCACTCTGATGTTTATCTCTGTTTAATGTGTTTCAGCCTGAGGGGGAATCAGTTTAGTTCAGATGGAGAGAAAAGGCTGGAGTTGGTGCGGAGACACAGACATGGACTGAAAGTGTTTGTGATCGAAGACTGAGATTGCAGTTCTACACACAGTCACCATGAAATTCACATTATAAACAGTCTGTTCATTTTCTTCTAAATGTAGATGAGAAACAGTCACTTTCAATCAACACTCAGGACAGCCTCGGAGCAGACAAGTCACAAACCAGGATTTTGTTTCTCAATCGTGTCCTTAGGAATGTGAAAAGTGATACGTTTGATAAATTATATCAAGTAAAGTCAGGTTGCTATGTTGGTCTGGTCGGTCTGTCTGCACAGACTTGCTGGACTCTCGCAGTTTTTCTCCCTCACCAATCTAAGCAGTTGCAGATAGTTATCTAAAACTGAGTTATTTTCTGAGATTGGGTGGTGATAATACATAATAATAATAATCTTTGAATTTGATATAGCGCTTTTCACGCCTTCTCGACATCTCAAAGCGCTTCACAGAATAGACTGTAAAGTGAATTGACCGTATATTTGTGGGCGAAACGCGGCAGCCAATTGCGCTCACCAGCGTCCCACAAACAGTCGTGGATTGAAAATGACCAATTTATTATTGTTTTGTTTTGGAGGGATTATTATTAGGCTCTGTGTGGAGTAAGGAAACTTGCCCAAGGTTTCGCCCTGACCTGCCTGGAATTGAACCCAGGTGTCTCGCTTGGAACGCAAGTGTTCCAACCACTGATGTGGGGACACGGCAAGTAAATGGGCCTAAAAATGTGCATCACACACACAATGGGCCGAATGTCTGCCTTTGGTGCTGTATGATTTCACGACGAGACAGATCTCAAACGAAAAGCCCCCTTTTGTTCTGTAAATATTAAACAATTCATGTGGTGCACCATTTACATGGGGAGACAATCACCCTCTGAACATCAAACCTTCTTCACTTTGTGAAGGGAGGGAAGCTCAGCATTTGTCACTTGACATTTGTCACTTGACGCTGACGTCTCGTTCCCACTGACTTGTGAACAGAAATTCTGAGAGTGACCATGTCTGATGACCTGTATTCTTCCACATTTCTTGTTTATAAGAATGCAGCAATTTAGACAATTTTGAAATTGTCGCCAATGTTCTTAATGAACATCTTTTATTGCCTTAAATGTATATTTTCAAAGAAACTTGATGTGTTAATATTATTCTGTATAATGATCCCAGTCTAATTTGTGAAATGACATTTCTGTTGTGTTTTCTAATTATTCAATGTACACTGTGCCACACCCTGCTATTTCAATGTAAAATCTACAATTTAAACAAATTTTAGATCTTTATGGATTAAATATATCTGTACAGTTTGATTAAATGAGTATGAATAAGCTGATTATTATTATCAATGCCATTTGCTGCCTTTTGCCCACAAAATATACAGTCAATTCACTTTACAGTTTATTCTGTGAAGCGCTTTGAGACATCTAGAAGATGTGAAAAGCACTATGTCAAATGCAAGGATTATTATTATTAGTGATTTGAGATGTTCCCTCAGCTGTAAAAATTGTCTCAACTGCAAGGATTATTAATATTACAATTAATCCTAATAATTCACTGGAAATATAAAAGATGAGGGGATTCCTTGAAAGCAATGTACATTGCAGAGTTCCTTAGCAGAATGGTTAGCAAATTCATCTCACAAGAGAGAGGCAAAACCTTTAGCAAGTTTCCTTACTCCACACACCTCTGTTTACCTTGCAGTGAGTAAGAACCTGGTTGTTATTCGATTGGTGGATCGCTTCTCAGGGGAAATAATCTCTCCAAAAAAGGGGAGTACCAGGTGCAGTAAATGATTGATAACTGCTGAGGGTGTGGGCGGTGACTGCAACTTCCTGCTAAGATTGTTTCCTGGACTTTGGTCGGGCTGTGCTTAGGATAACACCCTCTACAGCCCTGTGCACTCTGTGGGGGCTTCAGAAGCAGAGACGCTGCTCAGTCAGGAGGCAAAGAAGACGGTGAGTCTGTTCATTAGGTCTGACTGTCTTTAAGCTATTCTACTGGTCTGTACATTTCATCACATTTGTTTCCCTTGGGAAATAATAATAATAATTCTTGCATTTGATATGGTGCCTTTTCATGTTGTTGAGACGTCTCAAAGCGCTTCACAGGATATTCCGTAAAGTGGATTGACTGTGTATTTTATGAGTGATGACTGCAGGCTGCATTTCTACTGTGCACTTGATTTGGGGGACAGTGCTACTGGTTGCAGTGAACGAGTGCTGAAAGGTTCCGGGTGGCAACGTGTAAAACGAGCAAATAAAAGGTGGTCTTTGAGAAAGGAAGCAAGTTTTTTTTAAAAAAAGCATACTGAAAGGCAGGCAGGGTTGCTTTGAAGAGGTGATGCCTTAAGTAAAATGCTCATTGGAACTGAGCTGAGAATGAGTGTGTGTCAGACACCCAGCTAACAAAAAAAATGCATTGAGAGCACTTTCTGGTGAGTTTCACTCTGCTCGTTCCCCCGAGGACCACCCTACTCTGTCGGGCTTTGGCTTCCAGGGTGGTGAACAGGAGCCAAAAGGGAAGAATCCCTGATCCCAGCGACTTGAGCTTTTTTGATTCAGGAGTAACAGATGCAGGAAAGGATTGAGGATGTGGGAGTGACTGTTATTGCCAAGATCGGCTTCTGCAATTTGACCAGGATGTGCTGTGGACAACGCCCTGTACAACCCGGGGCACTCGGGGGCTTCAGAAGCACAGACACGGATCAGGTTGCTCAGTCAGGAGGCAGAGAAGATAGTGAGTCCGCTCATTAGGTCTGACTGTAGTTCAACCATACCGAGACCTTCTCCGTCACGTTAACAGGATGTTTAGAGCTATTTTCCCCAACAAAGAGCTTTTTTTTCTCTAACCCTCCCACCACACAGCTTTCGATGCTCAGGCTCGCTTAAGTGCAGGAAGACTGGGTGGAATTGGTGTCAGTGGGCGCTGCTTATGGGTGTAACTGGGACTTCACTGTCCCCATTCCATCTCCGGTCTGGGGGAGCTGAACAGAGGCACTCAGGCAAGTTAAGATCAGAAACATGGAGGTGGAATCTTGCTGAGGGAATGAAATGGCTGTGATTTTTCGCAAATATTAAAGAGCAATGATTGAAAAAGGGAGACCCACAAATGAAGGCGTTTGGTTTCTGTGCCATGCTGTTGCCCACGTTAATCTAGTCAAGAAATAAGAGGTGTTGGCTGGGAGTGTTAATAATAATCTCTGCATGTGATATAGCGTCTTATCATGTCTTCTAGTGTGGAGTGAGGGAACTTGCCCAACGTTTTGCCCTGCCTCGAATTGAATCCAGGTGAGGCGAGGGGGACTCCAGATTGGAGGATCGCGCTCATCGCACTGCAGTGCGGGTAACTGTTTTAGAATGGTCATCATGAGACGGATCAGTTCTTCCACATGTCCAGGATAACCAGGGGTGGATTTATCCAGAGGTTCTAGGGGCTGCAACCCAGGACCTGGATTTTGAAGGGCCCCCCCAAAAAGAGCGAGTTGCGACACCAAGGAAGCAGCAGGAGTCCTGCACAGGTTGTGTAACGTGCTGACCTCCAGAGAGGTCGGGATTTCGGCTTATTATGTTTATAATATTATTAGGGCTTCTCGGGCATGTGTGAAAAGAGTGTGAGACGGAGAGAAGAGGTAGCGGACGAGGAGAAGTCACTGAATCAGGGTTCAAGTGGATCATACTAAAGTGTTATGTAGTTCCTGATTGACATCAAACTGATAAAATCAATGTGTGTCATTATTTGCCCGTGATACTGACTGAGACGTTCAGTTCCATCTATGACATTTAATCCTTGAAGGGCAAGCCATAGTGTCTCTTGTGCTGTTCCCGCATTGTGATGCTGAAGCATTCATACAGTAAGAAAATGATTCGGATGTTATGGTAGCTTTATGACTAAATGTAAGCTAAAGATATGAATATTTTTAAAAAATACATTACTATTTGCTCCCTTATCTTTCCTTAGAGGGGCCCCCCAAACTATAATAGCTATGGGCCCCCATCATGCTTAATCTAGCCTTGAGGACAACACACCAGAAGATCAGCATCTACTTGTTGACTCCGTGTATGATTGAGAGCTGCAGAGGATGTGATCAAGAGCGCTATTTCCTGAGCTGTGGTCGGCCTGCGCTGAGACAACGCCCTGCACAGCTCAGGGCACTCGGAGGAGCTTCAGAAGCAGAGACACGGACCAGGTCACTCAGTCAGGAGACAAGAGAAGACGGTAAGTCCCCCTCCCCATTAGGTCTGACTTTGGTCCAACACCCTCCCACCCCGAGACCGTCCCTCTCCCTCCTGTTAACACGGTGTTTAAAAGTTATTTTCCCCACAAAGAGGATTTGGACCAATAACTAACAAACAGCAGAGGAGATAAGAGGCAAAAACATGTGGTGTCTTTGACTGATGCCCATTGACCAGCTTGGCTTGTCTTGTCTCAGGCAACAACTCGTCCCTAAACCTACACCTCAGTTCGATTCGTCCGCGAGGTTGTTGATCATTACATTTAGGCTGTAAAACTTTATTTTCTCTCTGAACTTCCTCTCCCCCCTCCCTCCTTCCCTCCCTCTCCTTTCAGTTTCACTTGAGCTTTGCAGTCAATGCTCAGGCTCTCAGTGCAGGACTGGGTGGTGGAATTGGTGTTAGTGGGCACTGCTGGTGGCTGCCACTGACCTCCCCCCCACCCCATTTGTGTGGTTGGTTTGGATGGGTGTCGGTGGGAGCTGCTCAGAGACCCCCCCCCCCCAGGCAGCTTGAGATCACAGACAGGAAGTGGAGTCTCGCTGAGAGACTGAAATGGCCGCGCTTCTAGCTGCTAAGCCAGAGGAAATGGTGATGCTCCTCAGGAGGAGAGGCTTTGGGGGGGCTTCTTGGCTCAGTTGCTGCTGCTGGTCTTCCACCCCGACTGCGGGCTCTTCTCTGCTGTGCTTTGGGCTTTCAAGGTCGTGCAAGGAAATAGAGCCTGCGTTAATCTAGTCAGGAAATGAGAAGCGATGGTTGGGAAGGTTGTGTTATATGTATGTGGTGGGGGGAGTCGTGCTCACAGCACTGCTGTGTGGGTGACTTGTTGGGGAATGTTCATCAGGTCAGTTCTTTAACTCGTTCAGGACATCACACCTGCAGATCACCATCTACTTGCTGCTACTGTGTTGGGCTGAGGAACACCAGCTCCTCAACCCTCTGCTGTCACTTACATTTCCTAAAATTGACTTGACTTTGGAAACTGACTTCATCTCTTGGTGATTAAATCGCAAAACGTTCCACACACCAACTGGCGTTTCTTCCCCATCAATGTCCTTTTCTCCCACCTGAGTCTCCTACTCTAACCCCCACTCTCCTGATCCCTCCACCCAGCGCTTAATATTCCACCTTTTCAAGAATCCATCTAATGACCCGTGAATTTTCTTTTGGCCAGCCCGGTGTCTGACACATACAATAATAATAAACCTTATATTTGGTTGTCATACCTTTCACAGCAGGAGCATATCCTAAAGCGCTTCACAGAATATACTGTAAAGTGCAGTGACTATTTTTGTAGGCACATACTGAAACCCATCACCAGGTTTAAGAATATCCCAATAAAACTGAGAATTCCATGTATCCCACGACACATGGAAATTAATATGATTTGTGATGGAATGCACACTCTCTCCCTTGAGGGATGCATCCTGCTTACCTGATTCTGGAGAGTAATAGACGCAGGTTGGCAAGAGCCAAGGCTTGGGGAGCACAGAGTCTGTGCTGGGGTAATTGCTGGAGTATAACCAGCTAAAACCGCATAGCTTGCCTTTGAAAGCTCCGTCCTGCATGTCCAGCTCGGACCAGCTCATCCTTTAGGGCTTTGGTTTGCAGTGCTAACGACGAACACATGCCCCGGTGACTGTTCTGCTCCTCCAAGTCCTGCTGACTGACTGGGTTGTCGTCTGGAGTACTGTGGACCCGCCTGGCTCAGCAAACAAACACAGAGAGTGGACTACATTCTGACATTCCAGATGTCACCTTGGAGCCAGTTCAGCTCCAAGGACGGCCCGTCTATCTTCTCCCCAAGGACGATAGTTGCAAGTTAGTCATTTGATATCTGACAAGCACAGGTTTATAGTAATAATCCTTATACTTGGTATAGTGCCATTCACGTTGGGAGGACATCCCAAACATGTTCATAGGATATACAATAAAGTGCAGTGACAATGTATTTTCTGACACAATCGTTATTATTACCTTATCATTTTACAGGTGACTCCATGACTCCCGAGAGTTTTTGAAAACCATTTAACGACCATGGCTGAAGCTCCCAATCCTAATCCACCGTTGACAACTGACAATGGGAAGAAACGTGACTCAGGCAAGTTTAGAAAATCCTCCTCGGATATACACTGTGCACGGAGCTAGGGAGGGGCCGACTTTAAATTACTATCCAGTGGGACAGAGTTGGGAATGTGATCAGTGGTAAAATTCCCAGCAGAATATTTTCACCTCTGAATCAGAAGGTTGTGTGTTCAAGCCCCACGTTGGGACTTTGAACTCATCGTCTATGCTGACACTCCAATACATTAATGGAGGTTTTTTCATACAGATGAAATGGTTATATAAAGGTCCCATGATCCTTGCATTTGATATAGAGCCTTTCTTGTCCGGAAGACATCTCGAAGCACTTGACTGTAAAGTGGAGTGACTTTATATTATAGGCAAATATTTATAGGCAACTTGTGCGCAGCAGTGTCCGAAAAAACAGCGATGAAGTGAAGGAACAATTTTATTTAGCTTTAAATCCCTCCAGTCTGGCCTCACGCAATCTCTGAGACCTGCTCAAGCACTAGCAACTTGGTTCCTCGCTTTTCTTAATGACCACTGGCCTGCTTCATGTCCCTCGCCCTACCCACCATTGTCAGTTAGGCTTTCGGCTTAGTTGAGCCAATCTGACCCCATTCTCCGAAACGCTGACACATCTGGTCATCTTTTCCCTTTCCACAGAAGGGAGAAGGGAGTTTCTCTCTCCCAGTTTCCTGGCCAACAATCCCCCCAGATAAAAATGGTCATTCACTTCATGGCTATTTGTGCATTCTCGTAAAAATAGTTACAGCACTTTATAGTAAATCTTGTGTGTAGTCCTTTTAAGCATCCTCCTGGCGTAAACGATGGCATATCAAATGCAAGTATTTTTATTATCAAAGTAGATTAATCAGTATATTGTATGATATGAGTTTTTAAGGTGTCAATTATTGTTGGCAGGTTCAAAGGCCACATTCTCCGAGACACTCGATCTATACAATGAATTCCAGCTGTTGAAACTCACAAAGTTCTACCAGGAAAGAATAGAACAGGCCATCGAAGGACACGTGAAGTCTGTCAGCTCTGCGCTGACAGAGAAGAAATATTTCAGTGAAAAGGAACACCAAGTAGGTGCAGTCAGACGGAAAGAGTCCTTTACATTGATAAACTTCCCCTGTGGGAAGGTCTGTCTCCCATTGTTTGCAAAGCTGTGTCTTTCCACCACGGACTTTTGGTATAACTCATAATGTTCCCCTCATCTTTCTTCATCATGTCTTGTCCTCATCGCTTGTTGTATTTCACTTCTGTACTTGCGCATTTATTCCCAGTTACTTTCTGTGTTAATGAGCGGTACTGCCTACCACCACCTCCGCAACATTGCCAGACTCCACCACTGCTGCCGAAACCCTCACCCACAGATTCGTCACATCAAGGCTCTATTATGGAAACTCCCTCCTCATCGGCCTTCCCAACTCTTCCCTTCACAAGCAGCAGATCATCCAAAACTCTGCAGCTCGTGTACTCTCGCGCACCAGGCTCCGTAACCCCATCACTCCCACCCTCGCCCGACTTCACGGCTCCCCATCCCTCAGAGGATCGAATTCAAGATCCTTGTCCTCACTTTCAAGGCCATCCATGGTCTCTCTGACCTGCTGACTCCTTAGCAACCTGCCCGCTGCCTCCGTTCAGCGGGCTGCTGCATATCTCCCATATTGAGGTCAGGCTACTGTGTCTGTAGTTACCAGGTAGGATGGAGCTGGTAAGGTCCTGGTCACTCTCTGTGCCCACGTTTCACTCTGCCCTTCAGTAAATGAATGACTGTTCTCTGCAGACACTCACCGAGCTCCAACAGAATGAGCAGATGAAAGAAAACCCCGAACTTCTTTTCAACCTGGTGATGGGAAAAGACCCCAAGGCCCAGCGAGTGATGTGGGAATACTTAGAGGAAATGAGGAACACTTTGCCCAAGTTACATAAAATACTGACTGAAATACAGGAACAAGGTACTGTGTGAATTTACACTGATTCTATTCGCTGGTGTCCAACACACCCACAGTTCGGGCTCCCAGGCAACTGTGCGAAACGCTCTGAATCATCCTCAAGACATGAAAGTTGCTGATAGATGTAAACTGTTGTTGGTGATATACACCTTTTATTTATTCAAACTAATGAAATGAACTTTATTCAAACAGGTACGAGTCTTGTAAAGATTGTGACCATTTCTCACAGTGTATCGGAAGTTCCCAGTAAACTAAAAGGTATGTAACGTGGCAAGGATACAAACGGGTTGTTTCACTTTTGGAATGGAATCTGAATGTTCACCATTTGCACCAGTGGATCAGCCTGGAGCAGTGGTAGTGCTCTCGCCTCTGATTCAGAAGGTCATGGGTTCAAGCCCCACGTTGGGACTTGGCATCGTATGACACTCCAATGCAGCGCTGGGGGTGTGTTGCATTGTCAGTGGTGCCGTCCTTCTGACGAGATGTTAAACCGAGGTCCCATCTGCCTGTTCAGGTGGACTTTAATGATCGCATGGCGCTAACTGAAAAGAGAAGGGAGTTTTTGCAAGTGTCCTCGTCAACAAATGCTCCAAGTAAAATTGGTTACTCATTAAGCACTCCGAGATACTACCCCATGTAAAGGGCGCATTATATGCAAGTTGTTGTTGATGTGGGACTTTGCTGTGCGCAAACTGACTTCAGCGATTCCCCCATAAAACACACAGTCAAAGCCACTTTACCGTATATCCTATGAATTGCTTTGAGACGTTGTAGTGAGATGATAAGATGCCCCATCCCCGCTATTATCAAAAGCCCCACAGGACACACCACAGTGGCTAACCTCTCCTCCCTCATCCACATTTTAACCCCCACTGCCGATCCTCCGCGCCCCCCACCCACCCCTCCTCCATCTCACACATTCCTCTGCCAACAGGTCCGTGAAACAGTTGTTGCTTCGCAGGTTCACTGCTTCCTCTCCTGCCACTCTTTTTGCAAATCCCTCCAAATGGCCTGATCAAGGTGACAAATGACATTCTGTCCATTGGTGACAAATCCCTCTGTCTCCTGGTGCTCCTCGACCTCACTGCTGCTTTCAACACTATGGACCACTCTATCCTCCTCCACCGCCTTTCCTCACCTCAGCCTTCAAGGTTCTGTCCTTGAATAGTTCGGATCCTATTTCTCACACCGGCCCCACTTTGACTTCACAAACGGCTTCTCCTCCAGCCCCCGCACCATCTCATGGAGTGTTCCACATGCTCTCTCTTGGTGACATCATCTGCAGAGATGGGATCAACTTCCACATTTATGCGGACCCAATTCTACCTCTCTCACTCCACCCTAGGGTCACTAAAGTCCTGACAGATTGCCTGTGAGACATGGTTCTGGATGAGAGCCAACTTTTACAGTTAAACGTCAGCAAGAACAAGGCTCTCCTGATTGGCTTGTGTCATGCCTCCACACTTCGGGCACTGGCAGCATCAGCATCCACGGATGCACACTCCACCTCACCGAATCAATCAGGAACCTCAGCGTCTTGTTTGACCCTCAACTGTCCTTTCTTCCCCACATCCATGCCATGACCAGCTCTGCCTTGCCCCACCTCCGCAACATTGCCCAACTCCGCCACTGCTTCAATCCTCAGGTCTCTGAAACCCTCATACATGTCTTGATTACATCTAGGCTGAACTATGCCAACTCCCTGCTTGTTGGCTTTCACAACTCTTCCCTCCACAAGCTGCAGATCATCCAGAACTCTGCAGTTTGTGTCCTCTCTCGCACCAGGCACCGTGACCCCATCACACCCACACTCGCCTGGCTCCACTTCCTCCCCATCCCTCAGGGTATCGAGTTCAAAATCCTCGTCCTCACCTTCAAGGCCCTCCCCTCCAACCTCTGACTTGCAACCTGTCCCTTATCAACCCGTCTGCTCCCTCTGCTTCGCAGGCTGCATCGGCAATTGGTCCTTCAGCCTCTCTGCCCCCACCCTCTGGAACTCCATCCCACATTCCCTTCACCTCGCTCCTCTTCTGATCCTCCTCTTTTGACCATCTCCCAACACTCTCTGCCCTCCACCCTCCCTGATCCCAATACCCCACTATTACGCATTCCCCGCTCAGGTCCATATCCCTAATCACTGGCTGTTCAGCACCTTGGGACGTCACCTGACATGAAAGGCGCTTTACAAATGTAATTTTGTATTGTATTGTAACCTAAGCATAGAAATTTCCCTGTCTGGAATGGAATATGCATTGCTCCCTGGAGAGTTTCACCTTTACCTAAATCTGCCGCAGGTTAGCAAGAGCCAAGGCTTGGGGAACCCAGAATGTGTGTGTGGAAAACAGCTGGAGTTTAATCAATGAAATGCTCACATAGAGGTTCACATAAGCAAAGATAAGCAAATCTTTGAAGGTGACAGGACAGGTAGATAAAGCTGTTTTAAAAAAAAAAAGCATACGGGATCCTTGGCTTTATAAATAGGGACATAGAATACAAAAGTAAGGCGGTTATGATGAACCTTTATAAAACACTGGTTAGGCCTCAGCTAGAGTACTGTGTTCAGTTCTGTGCACCACACTTTAGGAAGGATGTCAATACCTTGGAGAGGGTACAAAGGAGATTTACCAGGATGGTAACAGGAATGAGGGACTTGAATTATATGGAGAGACCAGAGAAGCTTGGATTGTTCTCCTTAGAGAAGAGAAGCTTAAGGGGCGATTTAATGGAGGTGTTCAAAACGATGAGGGGATTTGATAAAGTGTTCAGGGAGAAACTGTTTCCACTGGCAGGTGGGTAGGTAAGTAGGGGACAGAGACTTAAGATATTTGTCAAAAGAACTAGAGGGGAGATGAGGAGAAATGTTTTCATACATCGAGTGTTCAAATTTCGAATGCATTAACTGAAAGGATGATGGAAGCAGATTCAATAACACCTTTCGAGAGGGAAGCGGATAGATATGTTGGGAGGACAAATTTGCAAGGCTATGCTGAGAGAGCGGGGGAATGGGATTAAATTGGATAGCATTTTCAAAGAGCCGGCAATGGCACGATGGGCCAAGTAGCATCCTTCTGTGCTGTATAATTCTATGATTCTATGAAATATTGCCAATAAGAGCAATGTGTGGCAAACTCCCTCCACTGCTGGTCCAGCGAGGAATCAATGGTTGAGGAAAGGGGGAGAGGAGGTTGGACTCTTCCATTATTTCAGTAACTATTTTCTTTTTCATAAACATTTAATGTTCCTTGAATACACTAACGATGGTGTCCAGCAAGCCATCATATAATTTATTGTAATATAAAAGTTTTTACAAGCTGTATCCACCATTACTAACCCCTGTATCAATGCTCTAAATAAAGATGTTCAGAAACAGCACAAGGAGGTACTTCAGAAGCAAAGTGAAACAATGAAAGTGAACACTATCCTGGTTAAAGAGAAAGAGAAGACGTTTAAGCTGGTTGATCGATACACAGAGCTGACTATCATTTCTGATCTTCGTGGCCTGAAACTGGTAGAACATGAGCTGGTGGCGAGAGGTAGAGACCATGAGAACTGTAGAGAGAAGCTGCTCCAGGGAGAGCTGGAAAAAATCCGAATTGATCAACTGTTTCACAGCAGCTTCTCTACAGGAACCTTTTGGTCCTGGATTAAAAGTTTCTTCTGGACCAGTGAGGCAGGGACGTCAGCGGTAGTGAGTGGAGTGGCAGGAATTGGAAAAACAACCATGGTGCAGAAGATTGTCTATGAGTGGGCAAGAGGAGAAATCTATCCTGACTTTCATTTTGTCTTCATTTTTAAATGTCGAGACTTGAACAGTCTGAAATGTGAAATAAATCTGAAACATCTGATCCTGGATGAGTATCCTCACCTCAGGAATGTTGTGGGAGAGCTGTGGAAACACCCAGACAGGTTGCTGTTTATATTTGATGGTTTGGATGAATTCAGTGGCAGGATCGACTTCGCTGACAATCAGAGATTCACAGAACCTCGGCACATGTGCACTAATCCTGAATTCTGGTGTGAAGTGTCTGACATTCTGCACGGCTTAATACAGAAGAAGCTGCTCAAAGGCTGCTCAGTGCTGGTGACCAGCCGTCCCACGGCATTACACCTACTGGAAAAGGCTCAGGTCAGTGTCTGGGCTGAATTACTGGGATTTGTGGGTGAAGAGAAAAAGGAATATTTTCAGAACTGCTTTGAAAGTAAAAATGTGGGGGCAGCTGTCTACAAATACGTGGAGGAGAACAAGCTCCTGTTCACCTTGTGCTACAACCCGTCCTACTGCTGGATCCTCGGTCTGTCTCTGGGACCTTTCTTTACACAGAAAAAAATGAAACGGAAGCCAATTCCCAAGACAGTCACACAGCTATTCTCCTACTTTATCTATAACATTCTAAAGCATCACTGTATAGATGTTGAAAACACCCACAATGTGATGCTGAAGCTTGGTGAGATGGCCTTCAATGGCATCTGCCACAAAAAGATTGTCTTCAATAATGAAGACTTAATCAAATATGGCCTGAAACCTTCACAGTTCCTCTCTGGGTTTCTCATGGAACTTGTGGAGAAAGAGTCTTCAGAGCACAGCGTGGTGTACACATTCCTGCACCTCACCATCCAGGAGTTTCTAGCTGCACTCGCTCAATTCCTGTCTCACAACCCCAATCTCAACAGATACTTGAATGTTGATGAAATAGAGGATGGCAGGTTTGAGATATTTCACCGCTTTCTTGCGGGTCTCTCCTCCCCACAGGCAGCTCACCCACTGGAAGAGTTTGTGCAAAAATTAAACCATCAGACAACCTGTTCAGTGATTGATTGGGTGAAGGTGAAGGTTGAAGCTAAGATCAGAGACACAGACACTGTTGCTGGGAAAAGGAAGCTGCTGAACACTTTCCATTACCTGTTTGAGTCTCAGAATCATGGTCTGGCACGTCAAACACTGGGCTCCATGAAATCACTCACATTTGGTGCCTCCTCTGCACGGAAAGCATTGCGACTGACTCCAATAGACTGTGTTGTACTGTCTCACACCATTGGGTTGTGTGACACCATCAAAAACTGGATCTGCGGAACTGCTACATTCAGGATGAAGGGCTCCGGCGTTTGGTTCCTGAACTTCACAAGTGTCAGGAGTTGTGGTAACTTCAGCTTTCTGTCTCTTTTATTTTAATAACCAACAGGCACATAATTGTCTAAAGAAGAGCACCGAGTCTCACATAATTGTCACATAGGAATAATAGTATTTCAGTGGATGGAATGGTCTGGCCAGTAGTGGAGATGCCGTTGTTCTAATGAGACATTAACCCGTAGGACTGTATGTGGGACATTGCTGTGCATAATTTGCATACACCTTTACATTGTATCCTGTGAAGTGTTTGAACACTTGTAATAAGGTACTATATCAAATGTGAGTTTTATGATTACTATTCAATCTAACGGAGTTTCGGAGGAACCTCTTGAAGCAGAAGGTAGTATGAATGTGGAACTCACTGCTGGAAGCTGTGGTTGAAGCAGAAATGAACATATTTAAGAGGAAACTCGGTGCATACATGAGAGAGAGCAGTAGACTTGGAGGATAAACACAGCCCACACTAGTTTGCTTGAATGGCCTGTTTCTGTACTGTGTAACTCTGCTTACAGTGCAGCTGGCAGCACCAGGTACTGGGAGCTTCCCACTTATCTATCTTGGATAACCCTCCCTGTTACAGTGTTCGGCATCAATAGCAGGATGAGCCTGGCCAACTGTTCAATCACCAACACTGTCCCACAGGAACATTTTAAATGATGGGAACTCATGTTCTTTAATTGACCACAGTTGCTTCTGTGCTTAATACATTAATATAACTCACTGTATGTTATTCACTGTGGTTCTGATCACTGTCTCTGTGTCCAGGCTTTTGGGCAATAATCTGGGAGATTCAGGAATGAAGGCCCTATCTGAGGCTCTTAGGAACAGGGAGTGTAAAATAGAGAAGCTGCGGTAAGTATAATGTGAGATTGTCTCACTGGTTTTAACTCTGGGCGTTGTATCCCAATTACACTCTACACTGATTATTATTACTATTTATCAATCATGTTATAACATTAAACATTCCAAGATACTACCCGCGTGAAGATCACTGTGTAATACAAGTTATTGTTGTTATTATTATAAATGGATTCCCAGCCCTCACACCAGTCACTGGCAGACCACTCAGCTCTGTTAACCCTGCAAGCCAAAGCCCTGACAGGTAGGGTGGTCTGAGCTGATCAAGTAGCCGGAAAGCTGGCCAGACAGTGTTATCAATGGCAAGCTATGCGGTTTTAGCTGGTTAGACTCCCAACAGTTATCCCATCGCACACTCTGGGGTCCCCACGCCTTGGCTCTTGCCAACCTGAGCCTAAAACCTTCCAGAATTAGGTAAGTGGATGCATCCCTCCAGGGAGAGAGTGCACATTTTATTCCAACAATGTATCTCTGGAATTCCCATGTGTAGTCGGGATGCATGGAATTCTCAGTTTACTTTGGATACTCTTGAGCACGGTGATGGCATTCCACATGTGTCAGATATCTATGTGAGCCACTGTCTTTTCTCCCTGTCCCCGGTCATCAATAATCTCTGGGCTTTTAACCTTCAGGTGGTTTCCCTTTGAATCTTCTGGATCACGTTTTACCTCTGACATCAATCGTCTGTTTTACATCTTCCCCAACCCTACTCCGCACGCCACACACCCTATTCCCTCCACTCCTCACCCCTTCCACTTTCTATCCCTCCTCAACAGCCCCAAGTTCCAGGCTTTGCCAGGCACACCTTGGCATATGTCACAGGCTCTCCCAAAGCACCCACCCCCATCACAGGGCTCGTCCTCCCCACACCATCTGAATAAACCCCTCACCTGATCACCATCTCCCCAACCCCCCACCCCCCCATCCCTGCCCTCCCCCTTCATCTCCATTAACTCCTCCATTGGAGTCCTGCAGCTCAGTGGTTAGAGCACTCGCTTTGCAAGTGAGAGACCTGAGTTCAATTCCAGGCAGAGGGCGAAACCTTGGGCAAGTTTCCTTACTCCACACAGAGCCTAATAATAATCCCTCCCAAAAACCAAAAACAATAATAAATTGGTCATTTTCAATCTATATGACTGTTTGTGGGCCATTGCTGTGCGCAATTGGCTGCCGCGTTCGCCCACAAATATACAGTCAATTCACTTTACAGTGTGATCTGTGAAGCGCTTTGGGACATTCTCCCGACGTGAAAAGCACTATATCGAATGCGAGGATTATTATTATTTTTATACATAGGTTATGCACAACACCCAAATTTTCCTTTTTGACTCTTGATTGCAGATCTACTGATGTTCTGTCCACTTGCCAGACATCAAGACCTTGATGATCCAACGTTTACTGGAACTCAGCATCCTCCTCAGTTCCCACCAACATCTCCTCTCTTCTGGCTCTAACCTCCCCAACTTTCCCGGCCTCTCAAACTCTCCTAACTGTTGCACCATTTCGGTTGCAGTTCAATACCCAGTTTTTTCCATGTCACCCATCTCAGCTCCTATCTAACACCCATTGCCACTGAGACTTTCATTCAAGCCTTTCTCATATCTTTCTTAGACTTCTCCAATCACTCCTCGCTACTCTCCCTGGCTCCACGATCCACAAGCTTCAACTCTGATCTGTGTCTCTGATCTCCAGGTTGCAGGATAATGGACTGACAGATGATTGTACCAAGGATCTCGCCTCTGCTCTCAGTACAAATCACTCACTGACGGAACTATATCTGGACAATAATAAACTGGGAGATTTGGGAGTGAAGCGACTGTCTGGGGCTCTGAGGAAACTGGAGTGCAAAATACAGAAGCTGGAGTAAGTAACACACTGAGTGAGATTGTGTCAGACACTGGCTATAAACATTGGATGTTATATTATGTGTACACTCTACGCTGATTATTATTCATATCTATAAACCCTGGTTATTATATCACACCTGCTGTATGCGGTAATTTGTATTATTTTACATAAATAATGTGAGTTCTTCTCTGTTCATCAGTAAATGTATTCAGTTTTTGATACGAGTTTACACTGAGAAATCATCTCACATACTAACACTTCCAGAGTCAGTCACTGTGTGTTTATACTGATCCCTGTCATTTCTCTTTTGTCTCTGATCTCCAGCCTGGGGGATAACAGCCTCACAAATGATTCTATCGAGGAACTTGCCTCTGTACTCCGTACAAACAGCTCACTGAAGGGTCTGAACCTGGATTATAATAAACTGGGAGATTCAGGAGTGAAGTTACTGTCTACGGCACTGAGTAACTCAAAGTGTAAAATAGAGAGACTGTGGTATGTAACTCACTGTGAGAGATTGTCAGACACTGTGTTGGTACTCTACTCGAATTATTACTATTTATAAACTCTGATTAATGTAACACAACCTGCCGTATACAGTAATTTACATTATTGTGTTTAAATGATGTGTTCAATATTCCTCAATTAATTTATACAGTTGTTGGTTTGTTTACACTGAGAAATCTCCTCACACCCTCACATCAGCAAGGTGTAACTCCCAGAGTCCGCTCCTGTGTGTTTATACTGACCCCTGTCATTTCTCCATCTCTGATCTCCAGGCTGAGTAACAACAGTTTGACAGCTAAGTGCACCCAGGATCTTGCCTCCGCTCTGAGTAAAAGCAGCTCTCTGACAGAGCTGTACTTGAATTGTAATAACTTGGGAGATTCAGGAGTGGAGCAACTGTCTGAGGCTCTAAGGAACCGAGCGTGTAAAATAGAGAAACTGTGGTAAGTAACACACTGCGGGAGATTGTGTCAAGCGCTTTGGGATGTGTTCCAGATGTGAAAGATATTATATAAATGTTGTATTTTATTATTTATACACTGGGAAAGATCTACATTTTAAGGTCCATTTCAAGCCCAATCTCTTTGATTGCTTTCAATCGTGTTTCCTCAACCCAAAGTCTGAAACATTACCAGAGACAGTTCCTGTGTGTTCATACCCATCATGTCATTTCTCCATCTCTGATCTCCAGGCTGGAGAGTAACGGCCTGACAGGTAACGGTATCAAGAGTCTGGCCTCTGCTCTCAGTACAAACCGCTCACTGACTGAACTGCACCTGGATTGTAATAAACTGAAAGATTCAGGAATGAAACAACTCTCTGACGCTCTGAGGAAGCCGGAGTGTAAACTGGAGAGACTGTGGTACGTAACTCGCTATGAGATTGTGTCAGTAACTACTTGTCACATCCCAAGTACACTCTTCAGTGATTATTCTTATTACTATTTAAAAATTCTGGTTATATCACAGCCTGCTGTGTACAGTAATTTATATTGTGTGTAAATGTTTGGGTTATTCTTTGCTCCTCAGTAAATTTGTATAGTTTAATGTGAATTTACACTTACAGAATTTACAGAAATAGCCTCACACACTCACATCACCAACCTGTGTAATTTTACCAGAAAGTCAGTGCCTGTATTTATACTGATACAGTAGTGTCGTTTATCTGTCTCTGATCTCCAGGCTGCGGGATAATAGACTGACAGATGATTGTACTGAGGATCTCGTCTCTGCTCTCAGCACAAATCACTCACTGACGGAACTGTATCTGGATAATAATAATCTGGGAGATTCAGGAATGAAGCGACTGTCTGGGGCTCTGAGGAAACAGGAGTGCAAATTACAGAAGCTGGAGTAAGTAACACACTGACTGATATTGTGTCAGACACTGGGTATAAATGCTGGGTATTAGTCTATGGACACTCTACACTGATTACTGTTATTAATATTTATAAACACTGGCTATTATATCACAACACACTGTTTACATTATTCCTGTTGTATATCATGATTGTGTATAAATAATGTGAGTTATTTTATGTTCCTCTGTAAATGTATTCAGTTGTTAGTGTGAGTTTACTCAGAGAAAGCCCCTCACACACTGACATTGCCATGGTCTGTAACTTGACGAGAAGCAGTGCCTGTGTATTTCTCCTGATCACTGTCATTTCTCCATCTCTGATCTCCAGGCTGGGTCACAACAATTTGACAGCGAAGTGTACCGAGGATCTCGCCTCCGCTCTCAGTAAAAACTGTTCACTGACAGAGCTGCATCTGCACAACAATAAACTGGCAGATTCAGGAGTGAAGCGACTGCTTGTGGCTCTGAGGGACTCTGATAAAATACAGCAGCTCTGGTGAGTAACACACGGTGTGATATTATCTCAGTAACGGTTTCCATGGTTCCAATCCCACTTGACTTATCCTCTCCACTTTGCTTCCTGCAATGACTTCTCTTCTCACTCACACAATCGGAGTACCTTGTGGAGTACCTCAGGATCCTGACCTTGGTTCCCTCATCTTCCTGACCCACAAGCTTCCCCTTGGTAATGACATCTGCAAACATGGAATAGTTTTCACTTGACACCCAGTTCTACCTTGGTCCTTTCCCATGATATTCTGATCACCTGCTTGTCAGACATCAAGTCCTGGGTGAACCTCAACTTTCTTCAGCTAAACAAGACAAAGCAATCCTCAGCTTCGATTTCCTCAACCGTGTCCCCTCCTGCACCAGCCTCTGTGAGCCTATTAACCCCATCCTCGCTCAGCTCCACTTACTCCCCAAGCCCCAGTGGATCAAATTCAAGTTCCTCATCCTCGCTTACAAATCCCTCCATGGCCTTTATGGAGTCCTGTAGCTCAGTGGTTAGAGCACTCGCTTTGCAAGCGAGAGACCTGAGTTCAATTCCAGGCAGAGGGCGAAACCTTGGGCAAGTTTCCTTACTCCACACAGAGCCTAATAATAATCCCTCCAAAACCAAAAAAAAATAATAAAATTGGTCATTTTCAATCTGCGGCTGTTTGTGGGACATTGCTGTGCGCAATTGGCTGCCGCGTTCGCCCACAAATATACAGTCAATTCACTTTACAGTGTGTTCTGTGAAGCGCTTTGGGACGTCCTCCCGACGTGAAGAGCGCTATATCAAATGCAAGGATTATTATTATGGTCCCATCCACCCTTTGTAACCCAACCGAGTCAGCCACCCCTTGACGTTTGGTTGAATCCTCAGCTGTCTATCCGTCCTCTCACCCTGACCAAGGTTGCTTTTCTGCTCCTTCCTTCAACCCCTCCATCTTGCTCTATCTCTATCAATCTTCACTAGTTACCTGAAAACCTACCTCTTTGACAACATGTTTGGTCACTGCCCTCCACCCTCCCCAGCTTGGTGTCTGCCATCGTCTCTGTAAAGCTGTCTGAGATGTTTCTCTACAAAAAGAGTGTTGTACAACACAAGCTATCAGTGTAACCTAGTTATAAATTCTGTTCATTTACTCTGATCTCTGTTATTCTCCGAACTCCAGGCTGCAGAGCAACAATCTGTCAGATGATTGCACCGATGATCTCATCTCCTTTCTCAGAGCAAACGCCTCACTGAAGATCCTGTCCCTAGAGACAAATTCCTTCACCGACCAGTCTGTCCAAGCTCTCTGTGAAGTCATAGAGACCAATCGCACCAATCTGAAAGAGATTCTGTGAGTATTTGTCAGTTTATTAATAATTAATAATACTTGAATTTGATAAAGCACGTTATCACACCAACGAGATGTCTAAAAGTGCTTCACAGAATAAACTGTAAAGTGTCATGACTGTGTATATTTTGTGAGTAAATCTGGCAGCCAATTTACCACAGCAAAGTCCCACAAACAGCCATGGAGTGAGTGACCCAAGTTTACTTGGGAGATTCTTCATTCAATTTATTATATACTCCCAACATGAAAGGAGCTTTACCAAATGCAAGGATTATCAAATTAATTTATTCTGGAAAAGTCTGTTACCTTTACTTTATTGTTATGCCCACGATAGTGAGCTCCACGCACTGTCTGATTTTCGGGAGAACAAAGTGCGAGTGGATCTGGGGCATAGGCGTTCCCAGGGACACAGGCAACCAGCGGAGAGAGTGAGTGGAGCTTTACTGGGTCTGAAGAGTTGGGTTCAGGCCCCTCATCTCGGAGTCTACAGGGAGTATGTATTGGTTGAGGCGGGTGGACCCGGGAGGAGAAGAGGAGGCCCTCAGGAACAGCAGCCTAGAGCAGTGCTGTCCAACAGTGGGATAATTCAGCCTCCACGTGAAAGCGAAGCCTGTGGAATGTCTTAGAGAAGAGCCAAGACATTGTTATTCGTGGAATCACTGAGTCTGGTGAGGAGTAGGGCAGGGAGATGATCTCCCTTACTTAGGAGTCTCTACACCTGTTTTACTGGCATTTAGACCGTTGGCATTTAGTTTAATAACATTGTTTGTTTACCAGTTATATGGCTGCCAGTGACTGCTTCTCCTGTGACATCCTCTGTCCATACTGCACTCTGATGTTTATCTCTCTTTAATGTGTTTCAGCCTGAGGGGGAATCAGTTTAGTTCAGATGGAGGGAAAAGGCTGGAATCGCTGCGGAAACACAGACATGGACTGAAAGTGTTTGTGATCGAAGACTGAGAATGCGGTTCTACACACAGTCACCGTGAAATTCACATTATAAACAGTCTGTTCATTTTCTTCTAAATGTAGATGAGAAACAGTCACTTACAATCAACACTCAGGATGGCCTCGAAGCAGACAAGTCACAAACCAGGATTTTGTTTCTCAATCGTGTCCTTGGGAAAGTGAAAAATTATAGCTTGATAAATAATGACAAGTAAAATCAGGTTGCTGTGTTGGTCTGGTCGGTCTGTCTGTACAGACGTGCTGGACTCTTTCGCAGTTTTTCTCCCTCACCAATCTAAGCAGTTGCAGATAGTTATCTAAAACTGACTTATTTTCAGGAATTCGATGGTGATGTGGGGACACGGCAAGTAAATGGACCTAAAAAGATGCATCACACACACAATGAGCCGAACGGCTGCATTTGGTGCTGTATAATTCCACAACGAGACAGATCTCAAACAAAAAGCCCCATTTTGTTCTGTAAATATTAAACAATTCATGTGGTGCACTACATCAAACCTTCTTCACTTTGTGAAGGGAGGGAAGCTCAGCATTTGTCACTTGACATTTGTCACTTGACGCTGACGTCTCGTTCCCACTGACTTGTGAACAGAAATTCTGAGAGTGACCATGTCTGATGACCTGTATTCTTCCACATTTCTTGTTTATAAGAATGCAGCAGTTTAGACAATTTTGAAATTGTCGCCAATGTTCATTATGAACGTCTTTTATTACCTTCAATGCATATTTTCAAAACTTGACGTGTTAATATTATACTGCTTAAAGGCTTAGTTGAGGAATGGCAGAAAAAGGCTCATGTGGAGCATAAACACCGGCATAGACCAGTTGGGTCGAATGTCCTGTTTCTGTGCTGTATATTCTAATGTATTTAATATATACTGTATAATGATAGTAGTCTAATTTATGAAATGACGTTTCTGTTGCGTTTTCTAATTATTTAATGTGCACTGTGCCACACTCTGTTTCAAAATATAATCTACAATTTATCACAATGTTATATATTTATTGGTTGAATATATCTGTACTGTTTGTATTTCATTAAGCAAAGATGAAAACCTTACCCCAGATGCAGCCGAAACACTCATCAATGCGTCACCTCCTGACCCGATTTCTCAAATGCCCTCTTTGCTGATTTCCCCAGCTCCACCATGCACTGGATCCAGTTGATCCCGAAGTCTGCCGACTGCATAAACACCTGCATTGAACTCTCCGTACCCCCATCTGGCATTTGTTTCCCCTTGTGATGGCTGCATTTGAACTGTACACCTGCATTGGGGGACAGTGCAACTGGTTCCATTGAACAATTGCTCAAAGGTTCGAGGTCCAGGTGGCAACATTTGAAATGATCAACACCAGGTGCTGTTGGCTTGAAGAGTATACTGTAAAGTGGATTGACTGTACATTTTGTGGGCATAACGCAGCAGCCAATTGCACACAGCAGTGTCCCACAAACAGTCGTGGATTGACCGACCGCTATTATTAATTTTCTGTTTTGAAGAGGTAATGCCTTAGGTACAATATATATTGGAATTGAGTTGAGAGTGAGCGTGTGTTCAAGTGGAGTAAAGGAGGTGCTTTAGATGCTTATGGCCATACTACTGTGAACATGCCTGATCTCGTCTGATCTCAGAAGTTTAAGCAGAGTCAGGCTTGGTTAGTATTTGGATGGGAGACCGCCTGGGAATTCTAGGTGCTGTAGGCATTTTTTGCCACCACAGGCAATGCACACCTTGGCTCCTGCCCACTTTTCTCTTTGCACTGTCCTTCTCGTTTGCAGTTTACATTGAAGTCTTTAGCTATTCTACTGGTTGGAAAAATGAAGACGAGGATCTTGATCTCAATTATCTGGCGGTGGGGGAGGGGGAGATCAGCTCACTGAGCTTGGTGCGGGAGTGGACATGAGCTGCAGAGATCTAAATAATCTGCATCTTGTGGAGGGAAAAGTTTGGGAAGTCTGGTGAGCAGGGAGTTAGCGTAGACAAACCTGGATGTGATGAAAGGATGGATGAGGGTCTCGCAGCCTGGGCGCGAGAGGTAGTGTTGGAGGTGGACAATGTTGTGGAGGTGGGGCAAGGAAGAACGGGCCATGGTAGGTATGTGGAGATTAAAGGACAATTGACTTTCGAACAAGACACAAAGGTTCCGTACTAAGTCAACGAGATGGAGCCATGAAGTCTTCAGCCACGAAGGCTGATACTGTCAGCACTTGCGGTGTGGAGGTGCTGATGGGGGTCAATCAGGAGGGCCTCCGCCTTGTCGACATTCGACTGGAGAAAGTTAGTTCTCATCCAGACCTTGATGTCTGTCAGACTCTCATCCAGACGAGTATGTGTCAGACACCCAAATGACAAAAAAAACAACTAAGATTGCCACAGGATTAGTTCAGATGAATAAAAACCTTTTGACATATTTAATCTCATCCTTTCAGAACACACACTCTACTGCCCCCTACCACCACCACAGCTTCCAGTTGTTTTTTAAATGAGTCCAAGTGCTCTGGGGTCAATCACCCTTCCTGGTAATCTATTCCAGTCAGTAATTACCTTCTGGGTAAAGAAATACTTCCTGGTGTCTAACCCTTTACAGCTCTAAACGTGTGACCTCTTGTTCTACTGTCTCAATGCGTCCGAAAGTATTGTTCTGGGTTTAGCTTTTCAATCCCATTTAAAATCTTATACATCGTTTATATACTTAATTATAAAAAATGTAATTATAATAATATATTATATATCATAATTATATACAATTATATCACACATTACATCATAATTATATAATTAGTAAACACTTATTATTAACGTATCAATGCAAAAAATATTTATTAATAATATAATTGTATAATGTCAAGAGTATAAACAAGAAGAGTGAAGCAGCTTGGCTCAGCTGTAGCCCTCTCGCTTCTGAGTCAGAAGGTTGTGGGTTTAAATCCCACATCGGGACTTGGAATCAAAGATTCTAAGATGACACTCTGGTACAGTGCTGGGGTGGGGGGCGGTTTCCATATGTACATGTGGAACTCTCAATTGTCAGAGCTGCCATCCTTTGAATGTGATGTTCAGCGCACAGCCCACATGCTAAATACGTGATGAGGACCCGGGTTCGATTCCCTTACGCAAGTTTCCTTACTCCACACGCCTCTGCCTACCCAGCAGTAAGCAGGAACCCCGTTATTAGTAGACTGGTGGATTGCTTTCCGGGGATAATAATTCCACCCAAAAATAACCTAAGTAAAAATTTGGCCACTCAGTCCACGACTGTTTGGGGGACACCGCTGTGCACAATTGGCTGTCGCTTTTCGCCCACAAAATATACAGTCAATTCACTTTAGTGTATATGCGGTGAAGAGCTTTGAGACGTCTCAAAGACGTGAATAATGTGCTATATCAAATGCAAGAATTATTATTATATACCAAATGCAAGGATTATTATTATATACAAAATACAAGGATTATTGTTATATACCAAATGCAAGGATTACTATTGTTATAATATACCAAATACAAGGATTATTATTATAGCAAATACAAGGATTATTGTTATTATATACCAAATACAAGGATTATTATTATATAGCAAATGATTGGATTATTGTTATTATATACCAAATACAAGGATTATTATTATTATATACCAAATACAAGGATTATTATTATTATATACCAAATACAAGGATTATTGTTATATACCAAATGCAAGGATTATTGTTATATACCAAATACAAGGATTATTATTATATACCAAATGCAAGGATTATTGTTATATACCAAATACAAGGATTATTGTTATATACCAAATGCAAGGATTATTGTTATTATATACCAAATGCAAGGATTATTATTATATAGCAAATGATTGGATTATTGTTATTATATACCAAATACAAGGATTATTGTTATTATATACCAAACAAGGATTATTATTATAATATACCAAATGCAAATCCTTATTATTATTATTATTATTATTATTATTATCATGATATACCAAGTGCAAGCCCACAGATCAGAATGTATGAATAAGAATAGATGGAGTGACATGAAGCGGTGGCATGTAGCCCTCCTGGCCTGGGGTGGCGCTGCAGAGGCGAGGTGGCGGCGGTGGTGTGGAGGGGGAGACTCCTGGCGAGGTTTGGCGCTCGTTGGCTCAGCTCTGAGTGCGCGCGGGAAAGTCGTTCATCCAACAGTGAGGAGTGGAGGTGAGTGAGTGAGTGAGTGAGTGAGTGAGTGAGTGAGTGAGTGAGTGAGTGAGTGAGTGAGTGAGTGTGAGTGAGTGAGTGAGTGAGTGAGTGAGTGAGTGAGTGAGTGAGTGAGTGTGAGTGAGTGAGTGAGTGAGTGAGTGAGTGAGTGAGTGAGTGAGTGAGTGAGTGAGTGAGTGAGTGAGTGAGTGAGTGAGTGAGTGAGTGAGTGAGTGAGTGAGTGAGTGAGTGAGTGAGTGAGTGAGTGAGTGAGTGAGTGAGTGATGAGTGAGTGAGTGAGTGAGTGAGTGAGTGAGTGAGTGAGTGAGTGAGTGAGTGAGTGAGTGAGTGAGTGAGTGAGTGAGTGAGTGGAGTGAGTGAAGTGAGTGAGTGAGTGAGTGAGTGAGGGAGTGAGTGAGTGAGTGAGTGAGTGAGTGAGTGGTGGAGTGAGTGAGTGAGTGAGTGAGTGAGTGAGTGAGTGAGGTGAGTGAGTGAGTGAGTGAGTGAGTGAGTGAGTGAGTGAGTGAGTGAGTGAGTGAGTGAGTGAGTGAGTGAGTGAGTGAGTGAGTGAGTGAGTGAGTGAGTGAGTGAGTGAGTGAGTGAGTGAGTGAGTGAGTGAGTGAGTGAGTGGGGTAGTGAGGGAGTGAGGGAGTGAGTGAGTGAGTGAGTGAGTGAGTGGAGTGATTGAGTGAGTGTGTGAGTGAGTGAGTGAGTGAGTGAGTGAGTGAGTTGAGTGAGTGGAGTGAGTGAGTGGAGTGAGTGAGTGAGTGAGTGAGTGAGTGAGTGAGTGAGTGAGTGAGTGAGTGAGTGAGTGAGTGAGTGAGTGAGTGAGTGAGTGGAGTGAGTGAGTGAGTGAGTGAGTGAGTGAGTGAGTGAGTGAGTGAGTGAGTGAGTGAGTGAGTGAGTGAGTGAGTGAGTGAGTGAGTGAGTGAGTGAGTGAGTGGCTTTACTCACGCAAGTCCTCCATCCACCTCCTCTTTCCTTTATTTATTTTTATTCATTTTTCCTTCTTTATTGTTATTATATTATTATTATATTATTATTGTTATTTATTATTGTTATTTATTATTGTTATTATATTATTATTATTTTAGGCGCTGGCGGTCACCGTCAGAGAGGCTTCGCGCCGTCCGTCTACTCCTCTTTATTTATTTTTATGTTCATTTATTTATTTTATTATTTTCATAGGTGTCTTTGAAAAAACCCCTCCCCCCCAAAAAAAAAAGTTGTCCTTTTTTTTCCCCCCCAAAAAAAAAGTTTGTTGTTTTTTTTTAACCCGTATTTCAAGTGAGAGACCTGAGTTCAATTCCAGGCAGAGGGCGAAACCTTGGGCAAGTTTCCTTACTCCACACACACAGAGCCTAATAATAATCCCTCCAAAACCAAAAATAATAATAAATTGGTCATTTTCAATCTACGACTGTTTGTGGGACACTGCTGTGCGCAATTGGCTGCCGCGTTCGCCCACAAATATACAGTCAATTCACTTTACAGTGTGTTCTGTGAAGCGCTTTGGGACGTCCTCCCGACGTGAAAAGCGCTATATCAAATGCAAGGATTATTATTATTATTATTTTATTATTATTATTTACTTGCCGGTGTTTGCAGTTATTTTGCGTCAAAGAAGTTTTTACTTAAGGCAAAAGGCGACCCCCCCCCTCCCCCCCGCCCCCCCAAACAAAAGTTGTGATAACTACCCTATCATCATCTCTTCGAGAATTATTAGACATTGTAATGGCATCGCCGCTTTTTTTGGGGGGTGGGGGGTCACCCTGTGTATGTGCGCAACACACACACCCTGTGTTTATTCATTTATTTGTTTATTATTTATTATCGTTCCTTTTTAAGCAAAAACAAAAGTTGTCATTTTCCCCTGTATTTCATTCACTTGCCGGTTTGCAGTCGGTTGTGTGATTGTCAAAGAAGTTGTGCAAATGTCTGCACTGTACATATATATTGTGTGTTTGTGTGTGTGTGGTGTACGTAGGTCCATATGTATGTATTATGTATGTGTGTGTGTGTGTACTTATGTGTGTGTATGTGTGTATATATATATATACAGTGATTGATTGATTGATTGATTGATTTATTGTCCTTTCCTTTTAAGGCAAAAAAAAGTAATATTTTTTTTCTGTGTTTCATTTTACTTGCTGGAGGTTTTGCAGTCGCTGTGTGACTTTGTATGATGTGTGCACAATGCATATACTGTACTGAATCTATTAATCATTTACAATTATGATTTTACTTCTTTTATTTTCCTGTATTTCATCGCTTGCAGTCATTGTGTGACTGTCAAAGAGGCTTTATTTATCATGCAATCATAGAATCTTGCAGCGCAGAAGGAGGCCATTCAGCCTGTTCATTCATTTATTGCAGACCCTAACAACGGTCAATACATAAGCTATATTTATATTTATATTCAACCAGTTCTGGCCGGGCTCACGGGACCCCCATCACCAAATGGATCGACTTCAAGATAAAATCCTTATACTCCCTGGCACCTCCCTACCTCTCTGACCTCCTCACTCCCCACTCCGCCACCCAGTGCCTCTGCTCGTCAGGCACCGGCCTCCTGCTCGTCCCTCGCACCCTCCGCCCCACCATCGGAGGTCGTGCTTTCAGCCACTACGCCACCAAACTCTGGAACACTCTCCCTCAATCCCTTCGCCTTGCTCCCTCCCCTCTTTCAAGTCCCACCAACTTTCCTCTTCGACAGTGCCTACGGCCACCTCCCCTGCAGTCAGGCTCCGCCACTGTTAAGTGCTCTGAGAAACTCCCCTGCGTGGCGGGGGCTATATTTGTTGTTGTCGTGCCTGTGCTGGCTCTTCGAAAGAATTACCAACTAGTCCCACTCCCCCACTTTTACTCCACAGCCCTGCAAATTCATTCTGTTTACGTACCCAGCTAACTAATTTCCTTTTGAAAGTTATTATTGAATCTGCTTATTGAAACCCGCCGGTGATGTTGTCATGTGTGCGCCAGGCGTGCATGCTACCATCTGAGCCAGGCTAACGTCCTCTTTTCCTTCCCTCCTTCCTTTCACATCTTCCACAGAATGAAGTTCGTCACGTGCGAGATAGCATGGCACAACAAGGAGCCGGTGTACAGCGTTGACTTCCAGCACGGCACCGAAGGGAAGATCAACCGGCTGGCCTCTGCGGGAGTGGACACCGCTGTGCGGGTGAGTGTAGCCGGAGATGAAGTGCCTTTGTGGAGTCCTGTAGCGCAGTGCTCACCACGCAAGCGAGAGGTCTTGGGTTCGATTTCCGGGATGGGTGTGAAACCTTAGGCAAGTTTCCTTACTCCACACGCCTCTGTTTACCTATAAGTAGGTTGCATCAGCAATTGCCGTGCGCAATTGGCTGCCGCGTTTTGACCTCAAAATATAGTCAATTCACTTTATGGTATATTTTGTGAAGCACTTTGAAACGTCTCAACAATGTGATAAAGCTCTATATCAAATGCAAGGATTATTATTATTTGACTTGTTTGATTTCAATTCCTTCCAGAACGCCTAGCTCTGCCACCCTCTCACTACGACATTGATCTGTTCCTTGGAGAAGATTATTATTGTTGTTATTATTGTTGAGATCAGTGTCTTGGGTCTCAACTGCCCATTTTAGTGATTCCATTCAGGAATTCCATCCCATAGGTCCTCTGCCTCGCCCCTTCCCTCGCCTCCTTCAAGGCCCATCTCAAGATCTTCCTCTTTGACCGTGTCTTCGGCCACACTCGCACCCCCATACCCTCAACCCCTTCATACCCCCCTCTTGATTCCAACCCGCAGCTCGGAAGCAAACCCTAAACTCTCCAGCGCCTTGGGAAATCCTTCCGAGTGAAAGGAGCTATACAAATGTAATTTGTTGTTGTTGTTAATTACTGTCTTGTACGTTAAGAAGCTGCTGCTCGACTTTACCCGGGTTGCTTTGTGTTTGGCTGTCGCTAGTAGGAGCCAAGGCAACTGGAGTGATTGCCTCCCCATTTCCCTTTCTCCCCGAGGGTAGCATTTTGCCTTTGATGGTCCTTTTGAGGTGGAGATTTGAGGTGTTCGGCACCGGAAAATTGAGTGCGTTAGGTGATGCCGCACCTGTAGGATCGGCAGCGGCACAGTTTGGTTGGCAGCGAGGCCGGTAATGTGGCTTATCTTTTGGGTTCCAGATGTGGAAGGTCAACCGAGGTACCGACGGCAAAGCCCTGGTGGAGTTTTTGTCCAACCTGACGCGTCACACTAAGGCGGTCAATGTGGTGCGTTTCTCACCCAACGGTGAAATTCTGGCTTCGGGGGGAGATGGTGAGCAGAATTTGAGTGAATGTTTCTCTCCTCACTGTTGGAGATGTTCAGACTTGCTTTTGGTCGGACTGAGATACTGTTGTGTGCAATTGGCTGCCGTGTTTCGCCCACAAAATATACAAGTCACTCTACGGTATATCCTGTGAGGCACTTTGAGATGCCTCAACGGCGTGCTAAGCCGCTATATCAAATGCAAGAATTATTATTATGAACGGCTATTACTCATCTGTGGGGCTTGGAGCGACTTCACTGCCAATGCCTTGTTCCTGTCCTCACCCAATGTCCACACACGTGTACTTTCTACCAGGTGGTGTTTGGGATGTGGTGGGGAGGGAGAAAGTCTCTGGCTAGAGATTAGAGACTTGAAATTCTACCTTGTCTCAGCCTTGTGCGTATTTTGTCCTAAAATTTACGAATCCTAAAAATTGCCAATTCTTGAATTCAGTCTTAATTTGCAAGCGATATTTATTCTTTTTTGACTGGATCTTATATTTACGATATATTCTGTGAAGGCGTTTGAGACGTCTTAATGACATGATAAGGTGCTACATCAAACACACGGATTATTAAGTTTGACTTGAATTTATGAATTTTCCATAATTCTGCACCAGTCTCAATTTGGGCAAAATATGGTTGAAGGCTCAGACTAAGTGACATTTAGAGTGGGAACCCTGGCTGATTTTTCCCCTCCCTAACCCAGGAGTCATTAGGGCAATCTGAGCTCCCCCCCGCCTGTTGGCAACAGAACTCAGTGATAGAACTGTGACCTTCGGTCTCTGACCTAGTACTGCTCTGAAGTATAGGCTGAGCCCACTATAATTGTGATTTGGTGCGTGTGAGGCGAGGGGCTAAAATTGAAGCCTGTGTTGCTATGAGGCCCAGAGTTCATACTTAATTTCAAAGATGTTTCTTTCTCCTGGTGTCCTGGCCAACAATCCCCCAAATAAAATTGGTCTCCGTGACTGTTTGTGGGACATTGTTGTGCTCAAATCGGATATTGTGTTTGCCCACAAATATACACTGTCAATTCACTTTACAGCGTATCCTGTGAAGCGCTTTGAGACGTCTCGGCGATGTGATACGGCGCCATATCAAATGGAAGGATTATTATATTACTCATATATTTATAATTACTAAATGAGTAATAAGTGAAACCACTGAACCCTTGAGGAAACTTGGGCAACTTTCATTTGCCATGAAACTGTTCAAACGATTGTGTTTCCTTGTGGGACAGATGCCCTGATCTTGTTATGGAAGCTCAATGACAACAAAGAGATTGAACAAAACCTTTTTGAGGAGGAGGCTGAGCTCAACAAGGAAAACTGGACAGTGCTGAAAACTTTACGGTAGGGAATGAGCGAGAGAGAGCGAAATATATTTGATTTTTTTTTTTGGTCAGCCAGGTGTCTGACGCATGCTGAAACCCATCACCGTGCTTAAGAGTATCTAAACTGAGAATTCGATGCATCCCACCTACACATGGAAATCCCAGAGATAGATTGTTGGAGTGGAATGCGCTCTCTCTCCCAGGAGGGACACATCCCGCTCACCTAATTACAGAAAGTATTAGGCGCAGGTTGGTAAGAACCGCGACTTAGGGGGACCCCACAGTGTGCTTTGGGGCAACTGCTGGAGCCTAACCATTTATACAGGTTCAAAAGCAAAATGAAAATCAACTGTCTACATACCAAAACGCTCGTCAGATATACCCGGCTAACCAAAAAAATAGTGTGTGAAGTTAAAGTCCTGCCTTGTGCTTTTCCCTGTCAAGGGGCCATATAGAGGATGTGTACGACATCTGCTGGACGACCGATGGGAATCAAATGGTGTCTGGATCTGTCGATAATACTGCTATTATGTGGGATATCAATAAAGGTGAGAACCATCAACTAGTATATTGCGAGAGCTTTGCCTGTGGAGATGCGCTGTTGTGTAAATGTCACCGTTCACTACAAGAGCAGGTGAGCTTGCGGTTTGTTTCCTGTGTTGATTGCGTGTGGCATCCTGTTGTGGTTAACGTCTTCGCCTCGCAAGCAAGGGGATCAGGGTTCAAATCCCCGGGCGGAGCGAAACCTTAGACAAGTTTCCTTACTGCACACGCCTCTGTTTACCTAGCAGTAAGTAGGAACCCGGTTGTTAGTTGATTGGCGGTTCGCTTTCCAGGAGTAATAATCCCTTCTTTTAAAAAAATGTAGGTACTCATTCCACGATGTTTGTGGGACATTGCTGTGCGCAATTGGTTGCTGCGATTTGCCCACAAAACAAACAGTCAATTCTCTTAACAGTATATTCTGTGATGTCTCAACGATGTGATAAGACACTGTATCAAATACAAAGATTATTATTATGTCTTTTAAATGCTGTAGGTCAGAAGCTGTGGATCTTTAATGAGCATAAAAGCTATGTGCAAGGTGTTACCTGGGACCCTCTGGGGCAGTACATCGCCACACTCAGCTGCGACCGGTAAGCTTGGTGGAAATTCATATTGTTCCACTTAACGATCAATCCAGGATGATGTTTCTACGGTGGATTTCAGAGCTCAACTACTCTTCTCGTTTCACCTCTAACTTTTAATTTTATTTTAACCTTGTCCCTCGCACCGTCTGACACACCCATCACTGTGCTTGAGAGTCTCCAAACCAAACTGAGAATTCCACACATCCCACCTACACATGGAAATCCCAGAGATAGATTGTTGGAATTGAATTTGCACTCTCCCCGGAGGGATGCATCCTGCTTACCTAATTCCGGAGAGTATTGGGCGCAGGTTAGCAAAAACTAAGGCTTGAAAACCCCAGTGTGTGTGTTGGGGTAACTGCTGGAGTCTAACCAGCTAAAACCACAAAGCTTGCCATCAAGAGCATTGTCTGGCACGCTTTCCCGCTGCTAGGACCACCCTACCGTTCGGAGTTTGGCTTGCAGGGTTAACCGCAGCTGTGGAATGAAACAACATGCACCTTTAGGGTGTCAGCCTGGCTCAGTTAGTAGCATTGTCGTCTCTGAGACGAGGTTGAAGCCACATGTTGGCGACTTTGAGCTCACAGTCTAGGCTGACTCTCCAATCCAGTGCTGGGGGAGCACGGTGTTGGGGGTGCCGTCCTTCGGCTGAGAGGTTAAACTGAGGTCCTGTCTGCAACGTTCAGGTGGATGTTAAAGATCACGTGGTGCTATTTGAAAAGAGGAGAGAAGGGAGAAGTACTATTTGAACTCCTGGTACTCTGGCCAACAATCCCTCAGATAAAATTGATCATGGCTGTTTGGGGACATTGCTGTGCAGAAAATGACTGCCATGTTTACCTACCAATGCACAGTCAATACCCTTCGCAGTAATATCCTGTGAAGCAGCTTTGACATATCTCGATGACATGATAAGATGCTACATCAATGCAAGGATTATTGTTGTGATAAATAAGGGTCTGAAGATCCCCCCCTTTCTGTTTGCTGGACAGGGTTATGAGGGTGTACAGTACGCAGAACAAGCGGGTAGCTTTCAACGTCAGTAAGATGTCCTCGGGATCAGAAGGGGAGGTAAGTTAGTGTCCTCTCACCGTGATGTTTCCGTCCTGGATGTGCTCCGCTTCGCCCTCGACAGTGCCTTTTGCAGCCTTTTGTTTGAAAGAACATAAAATTTACGGAGTCCGTAGCGTAGTGGTTAGCGCACTCGCCTTACAAGCGAGAGGACCTGGGTTTGATTGCTGGGTGGGGCGAAACCTTAGGCAAATGTCCTTCTTCCACACGCTTCTCTTAGCGGTAAGTAAGTTGTTAGTCGATTGGTGGATCACTTTCCTGGGGTAATAATCCTTCCCCCCACACAAAAAAAAATTTGGTCGCTCAATCCGCGACTGTTTGAGGGACACTGCTGTGCCCAGTTGGCTTGCCATGTTTGGCGCGCACAAATATACAGTCAATTTACTTTACGGTATCTTCTGTGCAGTGCTTTGAGACGTCTCGAAGACGTGATAAGGCGCTATATCAAATGCAAGGACTATTACATTATATTAAGTATATTGTTACGTCAGTAAGGACCTCTTGTGGCGGAGATGCAGTTCTACAGCAGCACTGCACTATGGTGACGTCTGTCTCAGGCCCTTGTGAAGCAAACTGAAGCCACCGGGGTTGCGCTTTTCATTTTGACGAATGTGTTAAGATGTCGCAGTTTGGCCACTGCTTCCCATCTTTACGGCGCTGCGACAATTCCCGGTGCGTGTGTGGCTTTTTTTTCAACTTTTCTCAACCGTCCTTCATTTGCCGAGCCTGTCGAGGCGGGTGTGTTCAAGACCCCGTGGCACCAAATCTCAAAGAGAAGCGAGTTTCCCCTGACATCCTGTCAACAATCACACCCCCCACCGTCCCCCCCCCACCCCCATTTAAAGAAAATGGTCATTCACTTGACTGCTGTTTGTGGGACATTGCTGTGTGCAAAGTGGCTGCTGTGTTCGCCCCTTAAAAAAAAGCTAGTCACTAACCTTTACAGTATATCGTGTGAAGCGCTCCCGACCGTGAAATGTGCAATGCTAAGTGCAAGGATTAGGGTTATTACTGCTGATCTAAATATCAGTCTCCTTAGGTTCTACTCCCATCAGAGCATTTAAACCATAGAGCTTTGCAGCACAGAAGGAGGCCATTCGGCCAATCCTGACCAGTTCTCTCTCTGAAAGAACTATTCATTTCGTCCCATTTGGCCTTTTCCTACCTTTTGCCTTTTCCTGGTACACTTTTATATTTCTGTTTTCCAGAAATTTATCTAATTCCCTTTCGCCCACACAATATACGCCTCAATTTCGCCTCTCACGCAGAGGGTTTTGGCCGTTGGTTCAGGTGGGAAACTTTGAACTGGCTTCTCTGCGCCTGGAACCACTGAAGCTTCGAACCCCAGGTGCCGGTCACTGCCTGCTCGCTCGCTTGCTCGCCCGAGACCTCGGCCCCTGTGTCTGCTCTCTCTGCTCACGTCTGTTCCTGCCGCTCGCTCGCTCACTCGCTGGCATCTCATGTTCGCTCTGTGGTCATTCTTTCCTGTGTTGCTGGGCATCTTTTATAGACAAAGAGCTACCGCATGTTCCACGATGACAGCATGAAGTCCTTCTTCCGTCGGCTGACGTTCACACCGGATGGCTCTCTGCTCCTCACACCAGGTAAGTGGTGCAGTTCGGTCCCCCTCACGTTCACATTCTGTGGAAGGAACAGGTCCTTTCTACGATCTAAAGAGCCTGTCTCAGTGGGCAACACTCTTGCCTCTGTTCAAAGCTGGGGGCAGTGCTGCAATACCGGAGTTGCCGTCTTTCTGCTTGAGACGTTAAACCGAGGTCCCGGCTGCCTGTTCAGGTGGACGTTAAAGCTCCCGTGGTACTATTTGTAAATGGTGTCCTGGCAAACAGGGCGAAACGTTGGGCAAGTTCTCTTACTCTGTACGCCTCTGTTTAACTAGCACTAAGTAGGCTGTTAGTCGATTGGCGGATCGCTTTCCCAGGAATAATAATCCCTTAAAAACATATATACTAATGGTTTGCTCACTCAATCCACAACTGTTTGTGGGACACAATGGGCTGCTGCATTTCGCCTGCAAAATATACATTCAATTCACTTTACAGTATTATGTGAAGCGCTTTGAGACTCTCGAAGACGTGATAAGGCGCTATACCAACTAAAAGGATTATTATTACTTCACACGCCTGTTTGCCTTGCAGTAAGTAGGAACCCAGGTGTTAAGTTGATTGGCTGGATCGCTTTCTGGAGTAATAATACCTTCAAAAATAATAACAATAATTTGGTCACTCAATCCACGACTGTATGTGGGACACTGCTGTGCACAATTGGCTGCTGTGTTTCGCCCATAAAATATGTAGTCAATTCACTTTACAGTAGGAACTGCTTTGAAACATGTCAGTGACGTAATAAGGTGGAGTCCTGTAGCTCAGTGGTTAGAGCACTCGCTTTGCAAGCGAGAGACCTGAGTTCAATTCCAGGCAGAGGGCGAAACCTCGGGCAAGTTTCCTTACTCCACACAGAGCCTAATAATAATCCCTCCAAAACCAAAAACAATAATAAATTGGTCATTTTCAATCTACAACTGTTTGTGGGACATTGCTGTGCGCAATTGGCTGCCGCGTTCGCCCACAAATATGCAGTCAATTCACTTTACAGTGTGTTCTGTGAAGCACTTTGGGACGTGCTCCCGACGTGAAAAGCGCTATATCAAATGCAAGGATTATTATTATTATTATAGAGTGCTATATCAAACGCAGGGATTATTATTACAAAATTATTATTATAAATCCTCCTCTTCCTGTTTTCCCACGTTCCCATGCTATCGACAAACAATCACCAATTTGAGGTGTTTGTTAACCCGCTCCTCGGGGTAATTAAGGCAAGGAATGTGTTATGAAACTCCGCAGATTTCATCACATGAAGTTCTATTTGCATCCTGGTCTATTGTATTGAATTCTTTCTGTTCTATTGAAGCGTTCAAGACTCGAAGCTGACCCAAGTTGCACAAATCACCTCCGTGTGACACTCAAGACAGCTACAACCTTTGGCCCCAGCAAAGCGGCAACTTTTCTAACATTGCCCTATACATCCCGAGGGTCACGCGACACAAATTGATTTTGTTCCAAGGGAACCACATCAACCTGTACGCTCCCTCCGCCTGACCCGCCCCACCCTCGGCGGTCGGGCCTTCGGCCTCTCCGCCCTCACCCTTTGGAACTCCCATCTTGGAGCCTCTCTTCCTGGATCCCTCCCTCGCCTCCTTCCAAGACCCTCCTCTCCAAGGGCGCCCTCGGCCCCGCTCCCACCCCTCCCTGCCCCCCACCCCTCCTGATCACGACCCCCTGCTCGGGTCCAAATTCCTGACTGTCCAGCGCCCCGGGACATCCCCCCCGACGTGAAAGGCGCTGGGCGTCAATGTCATTTGTTGTTATTTTCTCGGTCTGGTTAGGAATGTTCTCTGCCTTACCCGTAATGACCAGCAGGCAGCAGCAATCCGCTCAGCCCGTGGGGCCTGTTCATCGAATCGATAAGAAATTTTACCGCACCACACAAGGCCACTCGGCCCATCGTGCTCGTCAGCTGTCTGTAAGAGCTCCCCCTTCCTTTCGTCCCGGAGGTTTTTTTTCTTCAAGCTTGTTTGTGTTTCTCCTTTTCAGATGTCTGTCTGATTCCCTCTTAAAAGCTCGTACAATGGAGTCCCGTAGGGCGGTGTTTTGAGTCCTGGCTGTGCTCGGCTTTGCCCGCAACAGTGCTTTGAGCAGCAGAATGTTTGAAGGATCATTAAAAGTAACAGAGTCCTGCAGTGCAGCGGTTCGAGCACTTGCCTCACGAGCCAGAGGACCCATGGTTCGATTCCCGGGCAGGGCTATACAATGCCATTTGTCGTCGTTTTTATGATTCCTTGTCCTCACCCATGATCACCTTCTCCCTTGCTCGGCGTCCAACCCTGCTTCTGTGCAGCGCTGCGATACACTAAACTGTATGAAGGGTGCCTTATAAATGTAAGGTGTTCGACTGAGAATGGGTGGTGGACCTTCCACCGTGACATTAAACATCAAGAAGGCAAACACTTTTGGGAGTGTGCTGCGTTGTCGGAGGTACCGTCCTTGTGATAATAATAATAATAATAATAATAATAATAATCCTTGCATTTGATATAGCGCTTTTCACGTCGGAAGGACGTCCCAAAGCGCTTCACAGAACACACTGTAAAGTGAATTGACTGTAAATTTGTGGGCGAACGCGGCAGCCAATTGCGCACAGCAATGTCCCACAAACAGTCGTAGATTGAAAATGCCAATTTTATTATTGTTTTTGGTTTTGGAGGGATTATTATTAGGCTCTGTGTGGAGTAAGGAAACTTGCCCAAGGTTTCGCCCTCTGCCTGGAATTGAACTCAGGTCTCTCGCTTGCAAAGCGAGTGCTCTAACCACTGAGCTACAGGACTCCACGTAGCTCATCCTTGCCTTTGATAATCCTTGCCTTTGATATAGTTCCTTTATCGGGTCGTTGAGATGTCTTAAATCGCTTCACAGAGTATACTGTAAAGTGGATTGACTGTACTTTGTGGGCGAAACACACGGCGGCAAATTGCGTGCGCACAGCAGTGTCCCCCAAACAGTCGTGGATTGAGTGACCAATTTTTTTTAAAAAGGGATTATTACCTCCGGAAAGCGATTCGACAATCGGGTTCCTACTTATTACTGGGTAAACAGGCCTGTGGAGTAAGGACACTTGCCTAAGGTTTCGCCCCACCCGGGTATCGAACCCAGGTTCTCTCACGTGGTTACTCACTTCATGGCAGTGTGTGGATTCTCCCAGCACTAGGGTGACAACCAAGTTCAAACCCAGTTGAGGGGCTTAAACGCACAACATTTCTGACTCGGGAGACCAGAGCGCTGGCAACTGTGCCGGACTTTACACCGTTTTCGTTTGACTGAAACAAATTTAACCTGTGTGATGATGACTCTGCTCCTGTTACAGCGGGTTGTGTTGAGTGCGGAGAGAATGTGACCAACACCACGTACGTGTTCGCCAGAAAAAATTTAAAAAGGTAAGAATTTCCTTTAATTATTATTATTGTTATAGTTGTTAACACACGCTGCATCCTGTGGAAATTCTGTCTGTGTAAAGTTGCAGAGTAGCTTTGATGCTGTACATCCCCATCTCCTCTGTGCCACCATCAGTGATGCACCTGATTGATGCAGCACCACCTGTCAATATCCTGTCCTCCCCAGGAACTATTTGAGATAAATTATCTTTGGGGTGGAGTGCAAGGGAGTAATGATTGGAGGGAGATTCATTGGAGCACGGAACTAGATCCAAGGTGACATGTTTGGCAACGTCATGTCAGAATCGAGAAAACCCTCTGTGCTCGTCTCTAGTTCAGCGATGGTTGAAGCAGATAATATAGAGACATTTTAAGACGAAGCTAGATACCCATGTGAGGGACAAGGGAGTAAGGGGTGGAAGGAGACTCATTGGAGCACAGCACGGACTAGTTGGGCTAAATGGACTGTTTCTGTGTTGTGCAGTCCATGTTACATCTGTGTAAAATGTAAATGAAGGGAGGGTGCTACACGTGGAATCCTGTAGCGTAGTGGTTAGCGCATTGCCTCGCAAGTAAGAGGATCCGGGCTCGAATCCTGGGCAGGGCCAATCCTTAGGCAAGTTTCCTTTCTCTACATGCCTCTGTTTACTTAGCAGTAAATAGGAACCTGGTTATTGGTCAATTTGGCAGGTCATCACTTGTATTTTATTATTATTATTATCATCACTTGTCCGGGGTAATAATCCCTCTCCGTGCCCCCACCCCCCAAAAAAAAACTTGGAAACTTGATCCATAACTGTTTGTGGGAAACTGCTGTGCGCAATTGGCTGCTCCATTTCACCTACAAAATAGTCAATCCATTTTACAGTGTATTCTGTGAAGCGCTTTGACACATCTCACCGACTTGATAAGGCGCTATATCAAATGTAAGGTTTATCATTGTTATTATTACACCAAGTTATTGTTGTTATAGTCGTATCTTTGCTTGTGGTTTCAGGCCTATAGCCCATCTGCCATGTCCCACTAAAGCAACCCTCGCTGTTCGTTGCTGCCCGATCTTTTTTGAACTGAAGCAGTTTAAATCGGAAGGTAAGTCTATTAGGAACGTAGGAAGTGCTTAAACGAAAGAAGATCAAGGTTCATCCAGTTCAACTTCTACCATCCTGGCAGTCGCATGACCTGTCGTGTTCTGAACTAATCATGTACTGTACCCCAAGATATTATTTCCTAAAAGAAGCTGCCTAATTTATATTTAATACCAATAATGCTTGCATCTGATATAGCTCCTTATCATGTCTTCAAGACGCCTCACACAGAATATACTGTAAAGTAAATTGACTATACATTTTGTGGGCGAAATCTTTGAAAGATTCTACACTTTCAGCTTCCACTGTCTCCCTAGGGAGCCTGTTTCACATATTTACAAAATGATCCAATTTTTGGTTGTGATGCTGTTTGAGTCCCTGTTTTAGTGAGGTTTAAAGCCCACCTTGAAGCTTGTCTCTTCGACTGCATTTTGTTACCTTTCAGTGAGGAGGCTGTTCAGATCCAGCTCGAGCCGCCAGTTTATGGGATTGTGGCAGATCATTTCATCCCACTTCCTTGTTTTTCCACGTCATTTTTATTTCCCAAGTATCTGTTTCCCCTTTAAACATCCAAATAGATTTCGGAAGCTGCCCGTGCCACTGCCTTCTGCAATCTTGCAACTCTGTGTGTCAGAGTGTTTATGCACGTGTGTGTATGTTCATGTGCGCATAAGTGTCTGTGTGTATGTGCCACCACCGTGTGTAAGCGAATGTTTTCATGGGTGCGTACCCATCTCTCCCTCTTCCTCTGTCTCTCCCTCTTCCTCTGTCTCTGTCTCGCTGTCTGAGACTGGTCCATGAAATGCGTACACGCTCCTCTTCCCACCCCCACAAGGAGCAGTCAATGAAAGGTGTATTTCTCTCCTTTCCCCAGGCGAGACGGCTAAGAAAACCAATCTCTTCAATCTGCCCTATCGGCTGGTGTTTGCTGTGGCTTCCGAAGACTCCATCCTGCTGTACGATACCCAGCAACGCCTTCCTTTCGCGTACATCGCAAACGTCCATTACCACACGCTGAGCGACATAACGTGGTGAGGACACATTTACAGCTCTGTGCACGTCCTATCCTTGGTCGCTGGTAATAACACCGAGGGGACGTCCTCTCGGCGCTATACAAATGTAATTTGTTGTATATTTGTTGTTGCTGCTGTGATGGTTGTTGACTAGTGGAGTTGACGCTGCTCTCGCTCAGGTCCGGAGATGGGATGTACCTGACTGTGTCGTCCACAGACGGTTACTGCTCCTTTGTCTCGTTCGAGCGGGAGGAGCTGGGCGTGCCGCTGAAGGAGAGGCCGGTGTTGTCCTTGCCGAGCCCCAGCAATGTGGAGAAGAGGGTCAAGAAGGGTCATGGACACCATAAGGCAAGCGCCGTGACACCCAAGCCCACGGAGGCTACCACACCCACCCGAGTGGGGGAACAGAGCGAGTCCGGCACTCCCACCCTGCCCAGGACTCCCGCTGCCTCCGCCACTCGCCTCAAAGAGTCGCCCGTCACCCCCCTCTCCACCAGGGGCGTTGCTACTGCTCCTGCCTTATCAGACACCAGGACCCCACAGCTGCCCACTCATGGCAATAAAGCTCCACAAGCCAGAAGGATCACGCTCAACACACTGGAGGCTTGGAGCAAGCCCAGCGGAGGGCCCACACCCAGGTAAAGCAAATGGAGGGGATGGGGGTTGTGTGGCATGTTCCCCAAAGGTGGTGATTGTACAGCGTCATGCGTTGATCTGTGGAGTATTGGCCTTTAACCTTCCTGTTTTGATCGTGCTTACGGTCACCTTCCTCCTCACTCTTCCCCAGGCTCGGTGTCGGGTTATCCAATGGGAAGGAGGGGATGGAGAAGAGAAGTTGTCGCTCTGTGATGTTTCTGGTTGTCTTAAGAACATGGGAATTTGCTGGCGAAAGAAGACCAAGGCCCATCTAGTTTGCCTTCCACCATCCTGGCAGTCGCATGACATGTCGTATTATTTTCTAGCAGAGATCTATCCAATTTGTTCTTCAAACAAACAACAATTTCTGCTTCCACCGTCTCCCTAGGGTTTACTGCTCGTTTACTGAAGTGTTTCCGCAGATTTGTTCTGAATTTACCCCCCTTCAATCGCAAGCCGTGTCCTCTGGTTCTGTTGTTCAGTAGAAGATAAGACAGCTTATGGTGGTCTGCATTATCTATTCCCTTCAGAATCTTAGAGACTTAAATCTTAAATCCCTTTGGTTTTTTTCCCCTCCCCAGGCGAATTATACCAATTCCTGTGCCGTCTGTTTCTACGCCAACATCGACGCAAGCGGACAGAGTAGCGAGGGGTAAGTGCAGTCAGTGAGACACAACTCAAACCCAACCTGGAGCATGAAAATTCCGACTCACAACCCGTGTTAGTTCTCACTATGTTTGATGTGAATGTGGCAGTTACCCCAACGTACACTCTGGGGTCCTCAGGTCTTGGCTCTTGTGAACCTGCGCCTAATACTTTCTCGAATTAGGTGAACAGGATGCGTCCCTCCAGGGAGAGAGAGTGCGCGTTCCATCCCAACAATTTATCTCTGGAATTTTCACGTGTAGGTGGGATGCATGGAATTCTCAGTTTGGTTTGGAGACTCTTAAGCACAGTGATGGGTTTCCGCATGTGTCAGATACCCAACAGACTAAAAAAATAAAAATGTGAATGTAGTTGAACAGGATCAGTAGATAACTGAAGACTAGCCGCAGATGTGACCCTCCCTGTCTTTTCTTCCCCGCCACCCCCCCATGCACAGATGTCTTGGATCATTAGTTGGTTCCGACTGAACTCCATTAAAGTCCTGTGTTGATTCACAACCCGCGCTGACACTCATTATCCTTGCATTTGATATAGCACTTATCACGTCGTCAAGACGTCTCAAAACGCTTCACAGGATATACTGTAAAGTGGGTTGACCGTGAATTGTGTAAGGCAAATGCGGCAGCCAGTTGCGCACATCAATGTCCCACAGACAACCATGGAGTGAGTTACCAATTTTATTTGGGGGATTGTTGGCCGAATAGTGCCGCGGGATCTTTAACATCCACCTGAACAGGCAGATGGAACCTCAGTTTAATGTCTCATCTGAAGGACGGCACCTCCAACAATGCAATACACCCCCAGCACTGCATTGGAGCGTCAGTTATAGACTATGACGGGGCTTGAACCCACAACCTTCTGACTCGGAGACAAGCTTGCTACCACTGCACCAGGCTGAGTTACTTACAAGATATACAGGTGATGGTGGGAGTATAGGGACGCATGTTTGCAGAGAATCGCCTAACAACAATAATAATAATCCTTGTATTTGATGCAGCGGTTTACGTCCTTGAGATGTTTCAAAGTGCTTCGCGGGATTTTACTGTAAAATAGAGCGACTTGAGTGTTTTGTAGGCAAACTCGGCTGTTTGGTCACTCAACCTACGACTGTTTATGCGCAATTGGCTGCCATCTTTTGCCCACAATTGCAGTCAATTCCACTTTAAAATTTACGGTATATTGTGAAGCGTTTTGAAACGTCTCAAACAACGCTATATGAAATGCAAGGATTATTAGGAATAACCACCACTTTGAGCCGCACTTTAGTTACACTCGGCAAATATTACAATCGTTTCAGAGAGACCTTCTCCGTCTGACGACCCTTCGTGCAAATCACCGGACAACAAGCGTTCCAGAACGGACCCGGGTAGTCCCAGTCCTGCCGTTCCGCATAGTGTGAACGACCCAAGCGAGAAGAACGAGACACGACCTGACAGCAAATAATAAAAGGAACGATTGTAAAACATTCTTGCGTTGTGTATGTGAATGGCATTTTACGAGAGGCTCTGCTCTTTCGTTAAGATCCTTGGATGTGACCCCAAACTTGAGGTGTGAAATTCTGGTTATCTTTACACTTGAGACAATTGTCTCTTACAAACGTAAAGGTGCGCAGAGTTTGGAAATTTCTCGAAATCCGGTGTTGTGTTATAACCCTTGTGGTTTGCACAGCAACCTGATCGCTTCTCAAAGCGCTTCACGGGAAATACTGTGCAAGTGTAGTGACTGTACAGGGTGTCCACAAAGACCTCTTACTGCTCCGGTTACAAAACAGCGGTATGAGACTACGGAGGAACTGAAACCAGCTTTTCAGAGATGCTGTCATTTGGCCTCCTCACTCCATCCATGTTACGGAAGATGTGGAAACGAACATGGTGACGGATCGTTATCTGCCATAAAAATGATGACGCTCGCTCACTCACTCACACCCATCACCTGGACGTACGTCTAAATACAGTTAAACACTTGGACTGAATACAATTGAGTACTTCTAAATACAATTGTCATCATTTTTCCACATGTTTCAGTTGTGGGTCAGTGCACTATACAAAACAAACCTGGGGGGTTACAGGACTTTGTGGGCACCCTGTACGTTTTAAGGTGATGGATCCCAAGTAAGGCTGCTTTTGAGACTGATGGCATGGAACCTTGTCAGACTGTACTTAGTAATGCAAAATACCTTTAACTTACATTTTGTTTTGTTTGTTCTAGGTTTAAATGTGTCAAAACACCCTGGTAATAAGTGATATTAGTTCTGAGAGTGCCTCTTAATCTTTGTAAATAGTCAATTTACGTCTTTTTTTAAAAAGGAACAATTAAAAACTTTTCTGTTTAACATAATCTGCTCTTTTGACGTAACGTTTCAAACCACCTCATAAATCTTCTAATGACCAACTACAGCTTCCACAATCTGTGTGTTCTGGAGAGATGCAGTCCAGCAGCGTAGTGCTCACCTCGCAAGTAAGAGGACCTGGGTTTGAGTCTCGGGCCGGGCAAATCATAGAATTATACAGCACAGAAGGAGGCCATTTGGCTCATTGTGAACAGAGCTATCCAATTCAATCCCACTTCCCCGCTCTCTCCCCATACCCCTGCAACTTGTCCCCAAATAATTATCTGCTCTCTTAAAAGTTGTTATTGAATTGGCTTCTAATTATTAGGCATGTTTCCTTAGTCGGTTGGCAGATCATTTTCTGGGGGTAATCCTTACAAAAAAAGTGGTTACTCAGTCCCTGACTGTTTGTGGGACACTGCTGTGCACAATTGGCTACCGCGTTTGCTTACAAATAGGCAGTCACTTCATTTCAGAGTAAATCCTGAAGTGCTTGAGAAGTCCTTCCGACGTATAAGGGGCTGTACCAAATGCAAGGATTACTAACATTATTTAATTGCCCTTCCTTCCCCATTACCACCTCTCTCCCTCTTCTGCCCTCCCTTCCGCCCCCCTCCTTCTCTCAACTGCAAATTTATGTCAGAGACTAAAATTCATGAGGTAACAGAGTCAATAAGCAGCATCACTCTGACAAAAAGTGAGGCATTGAGCTGTGTTACTTGTCTGAGGTGTAAAGTAGGATTAATGGAATGCAATGCAGGAGCTCGCTGTATTTACAGTCAATGTTTGATGCTTTGTAAATGGGATATTGATTGCCGTACTGTGTTTGCCAATGTCCTAGTGAAGGCAAAGGGACAATTCTTTCTCTTTTTTCTGCCCTTGTCTTGACATGACTATAAATTATCCTTCCTCCTGTTCAGCTTCCCATGTCCTATTTATTTAGGCGCAGTCTCTGATTGCAAGTCTACTTTAGACACAGACAACTCAACTATGAGCTAGACAAGCATGGCATACACTAAGCCTTGCTTAGTTATGTGTATCGCACTTTCTGGGCATTTCACCCCATAAAATATACAATCAATCCACTTTACAACAATAACTTGTATTCATATAGAGTCCCTCACACAGGGCAGCGTCTCGGAGCATTGAACAGTGGCTGAGGCTGAGTCAGGGAGGGAGGAGGTAACCGTAAGCACAGTCGATGAGGAAGGTCTACAGTTGTGAGCTAAAAGAGGAGAAGAAGGGGGCAAAGTGGAGAGATTGAGGGAGAATGTTCCAGAGTTTGGAGGCATATTGTCTGAAAGCTCGGCCGCCGATGGTGGAGCGGAGGACACGAGGAAAAGCAGGAGGTCAGCGAGAGCCAAGCGGAGGCAGTGGGTACAATATATTCTGTGAAGCGCTTTGAGACATCTATATCAAATGCAAGGTTTATTATTTAATCCCTGACTGTCCAGCGCCTTGTGATGTCCACCTGACCTGAAAGGCGCTATACAAATATAATTTGTTGTTGTTATGATCAGCTTGGCTCAATCAATAATATTCTTACCTCCTCTGGGGCAGGAGGTTGTGAGTTCAAACCCCACATCAGGGACTTTGAGCTCACAATCTAAGTCGACTCTCCAGTGCAGAGTTGGAGTGAGCGTGGAGGTGCTGTCCTTTGTATGTCACGTTAAATCAAGGGCAGATCTGAGGTCCCATCTGCCTGTTCAGGTGGATGTTAACCATCCCGTGAATAACAATAAAAAATAATCCTTGTATTTGAGATAGCGCCTTATCACGTTGAGACGTCTCAAAATGCTTCACAGAGTATATCGTTTAAGCGGATTAATTGTGTATTTTGTGGGCGAAATGCGGCAGCCAGTAGCACTGTCCCACAAACAGTTGTAGATAGAGTGACCACATTTTATTACCCCCAGAAAACGATCAGCCAATCGACTAACAACCGGGTTCTTATGCACGACTTGGTAAGCAGAGGCAGGTGGCATACGGAAACTTGCCAAAGGTTTCGCCCCGCCCCGGAATTGAACCCAGGTCCGATCGCTTGCGAGGCGAGCATTCTAACCACTACGCTACAGGACTCCACCATTGAATTAAAGAAATATTTTGAGGTAGTAATCCCACCCAGGGATCACATAAAGGAGGAGATCAGGATATTTTTTTACACACACACACACACACACAGAGTTGTTAAAATGCTGTGGTCAAGGCAGCATCCCAATTTGCTTTCAAAAGGGAACTAGATGGATACCTAACGAGGAATAATTTGCAAGGGTTTGGGGGGGAATTCAAGAAAGAGCCAGCACAGACACCGTGGGCTGAATGGCCTTCTGTGTTGCAAATTTCTATGGTTCTAAAATACACATGTTTTGCCCCTTTGTGCTTGCAGTAACTTGCAGCTATGCATCATTTCTATACATAAAGCATCTAAATCTCTCCGATTCGGTTACTGCCTTGCCATCGCTCCCAGTCATCTGTCGTTCTATATATAAATCAGGCAAAGCCTTGATTGGATTACTGCTATGTTCTCATTCCCAGTTATACATTGCACTTTGTTTACATGCCCTGGATGCTCATTTTGTGGAATCCCGTAATGCAGCAGTTAGCGAGCTCGATTCGCAAGCGTCAGGACCAGGGTTAGATTCCTGAACGGGGCAAAACCTTAGGCAAGTTTCCTTACTCCACACGCCTCGGTTGGTCTATCAGTAAATAGGAACCTGGTTGTTCGTCAATTGGATCCTTTTCTGGGGGTAATAAACCCTTCAAAAATAGAAAATATTTGGTCACTCAATCCACGACTGTTACACGATTGATTGATTGATTAATTAATAGCAAAGGAAAAACACAGCTATTCACTGTACTGAATGCTTACTCAAGTTAGTGCCTGCAGCAAATTTTAATGGTTACAGTAAAACATTATCCATATCATCCATGACTGTTTGAGGGGACGCTGCTGTGCGCAATTGCCTGCCACGTTTCGCCCACAAACTGCACAGTCAATCCACTTTACAGTACATTCTGTGAAGCGCTTTGAGACATCTCAACCACGCGATAAGGCGCTATATCAAATACAAGGATTATAGTATTGTTATATAGTGCCCTTTATGTAGGATAATGTCTCGGGGCGCTGTAAAATGGAGGCGATGGACGCTGAGAAAGCAAGACGGTTTATGTGACTATAGGTGCTGATTGACAACGTAGGCTTTAAGGCAGCACTTGAAGACAGAGAGAGGGTGAGAGACGGAAGGGAAGAAACCGATCGAGGGAGGATGAGAAATGGATACATAGGCATGAGAGACAGATAGAGAGGGTGTGAGTTAGGGAAGGCATGATGGTTGGTTAGAGGGGCTGAGAGAAGGATAAAGAGCAGATGAGACAGAGACTGATAGAGAGGAGGTGGAGACGGAGAGAGGGGACAAGATGGAGTTCTATGCCCCTCTCCTCCACCCCTCTCCCACACCCTTCTATTCCCTTCTCCCACACCCCTCTATTCCCTTCTCCCACACCCCTATATTCCCCTCTCCTACACCCCTCTATTCCCCTCTCCCACACCCCTCTATTCCCCTCTCCTACACTCCTCTATTCCCTTCTCCCACACCCCTCCATTCCCCTCTCCTACGCCCATGTTTCCCCTCTCCTACACCCCTCTATTCCCCTCTCCTATACTGCAAGCAGTGGGATTCTCAAACTGCAGTGAGCCCTTGGTATATGGATGGAGTCAGCGTGACCCAGCCATGTCAGCAGACAAATTATTGGACTCGATTTCCCTGAATTCGGAGCTTTTAATCTCTCCCGACCATTTTAATCTCTAAACTGCGTTACCCTGACAACTATGGCCCACTGTGAAATGTTGTATTGATGTAAATTAAAAATCCTTCACTGGCAGATGTAAAATAGCCAGAACATCAAATCCCACAACAATAAAAACAATTTGATAATAATGTGGAGTCCTGTGGCGTAGTGATTAGATCACTCGCCTCGCAAGTAAGAGGACCCGGTTTGATTCCCGAGGAGGGCGAAACCTTGGACAAGTTTCCTTATTCCACACGCCTCTGTTTACCGAGCAGTAAGTAGGAACCCAGTTGTTAGTCGAGTGGTGGATCACTTTCCGGGGGTTAATAATCCCTCCAGAAAAATTC